GGAAGGAGAATAGTGGATATGGCTATCACATCCACTGCAGTACAAACAGAGCCATTGTCTACAGGGCCAACAGAAGAAGATACACCAGCTATGTTTATCAGGAAGTCTGTTCAAGAAGAGAATCACATAATGAATAACATCCGACAGAAATGTCTTAAAAAGCCTGAAAAGGGCAATGCAGTTGAGCGTTGTCCTTCATCTAGCAGTGATTTAAGTATTAAAAAGTCCTGGATTCCTTGGATGAGAAAAAAGGACAACACTGCCCAAGAGACCAACTTTGAAAAGCAGCTCCACATCAGTGGGGAGCAGGTTTCCTCTAAATTATCTGTGCCTCAAAACCAGGGACAGCCTTTACACATCAGGGTAACACCCGATCACCACAACAACATGGCCACACTGGAAATCAGCAGCCCAACCTCTGATCAAGATTTTCAAAATACAGCTCCCCTTAGTCCTAACCCATCTCAACCAAAATCCAGAATTACAATCATTCCCACCTACTCAATTCCATCAACACGGAGAAAGACTCCAACAGGACCCCAAGGTCCCTCAAGAGCCAAATCCCCAGTCACCATCACAACGATATCTAGGGCCAAATCTCCAGTAACTAGTCGCACCTCCTCTACCTCAGTGAGACCTCTTTCCCCACTTTCAGTTATGACTGTGAGTACCGCTGTAGTGCCTGAAGCGTCTGCCTCCCCAGAGCCGCAGGAGATGACCATGGGCCGGGCTGTGTTCAAGGTTACCCCCGAGAAACAGATGGTCCCAGTTCCAGTCCGAAAGGGACAAAACAGTGCAGGCGTCATCACCTCTGCAGATGATAACAAGATCCACATTCACCTAGGCAACAGCATTCCCCCAAAGATGGTGGTCAGACCAGTAGCTAATGTGACCGAAAACAAAGAAGTGACCCTGTCAACTGGGACAGTTTTGCGTTCACCTCGCCAGATCACCACTGCTACCAGGAACGTGCAGAGTAAAGTGACAAGCAGTATTACAATATCCAATGTGACATCAACGACATCGAGACCTCTCCAAAGCACGGTAGGTTTAACATCAACTTTATTTTTAAATGCTCCCCTACATATTGTGTCAGAGAGCCAACAACTGACAGCTTAAAACTATTAAAAAGTTTTGAGGTATTTATTTATTTATTTCAATCAAAACTATTTATACTTTCCGTTGAAATAATTTTAAGGCAGGCGGCTGAACTATAGCCATACCAATATTTACTTTGACATTTTCTTTAGAGATTACTTTCTTCTTCTTTGGTTTGTTACATACTGAGGAGGCAAAATATGCCCTTTTACACTAGCCCTCTGAAACTGATCCGTGCTGAGTTCGGACCGAGCTTGGATCAGTTAATCGCGCTGAGCTTGGTTCTTACAACCGTTTACACATCACGCAAGTACGGTTCCTTGCCTCCTATCAGCTGTCCCGATAAAACAGCTCTCAAGGCGAGAATTACGCAAACAAAACTGCGGTGCCCATAACATTCAGGAACTTACTATAGGCCTGGATAGAATCTTCTTCCCAAATTTCAATAAGAGCCACGCTCTTTTGATACCATTTATGGTTAAAAGGCTGAGAAGAAGTTTGTTGCAAACAGGTGAAGAGGAATTGCAAAGCCAGTCACGCCGGAAAACCTGCGAAATGAGTCAATTTACTGTTAATAGGAGATGACTTGGTCTCCTCATGCGATCTTCGTTATCAGAGAACTGAGCCACAGATGAACCATGCCGAGCCGTACTCTTGAACTAGTATTATATTTAGCGCGTTTCGGTTGTGTCTGGCATGGTCTAGTTCAGATTTGTTCCGTTAACTCTCAACACTTATGTCAGTTACTGTGCTCGGATGGTTCTCGGCATGGTTTCAAAAGGCTAGTATAAATGCAGCTTAAGGTTCTTGTTAGGAAACACATTTCACTGCAGCTAAAATAAGAAATGATCTATTTAGTGTGCTTGTTGTCACTATAAGCCTCTTTGTGAATGACATGTATGGATAACCTTATGAGAAGCAGAGCTGAAGGCACCTAGCCACAAATCCAGTTGCAATTAATAACTATACCCCATGTTACACTTTGAAACAGTGCATCAAATATATGATTTGACTTTTTTTTTATTGGTACAATGTTTAATATTATTGTATAACTTTTTCTGTTTTCTTATTTTCTTATGGCTTTCATTTTACTTACCGTACCAATCTAAGAAGCTTTCTCTTCCTGTGGTCAAACAGATCGGGCATGATGTGCAGCCACCTCGCACGGGGCTTACTCGCATCCCAATGTCCAAAAGCCTCAAGACAGGGAAGGCTTCACTGGGATCCACCAGCGTATCGAGTGGAATGAAGCTTGAATCTCGGACAGAGAGTCAGTCTATGAGAGTAGAACTCAAGAAATCCTCTCTAAATGGAAATGCATTACAAAATGGAGGGATATTGTGAAAATATAATGCCACGGTTTTACTTGTATGGTGATGAGTAAGTCATATAAATACAGTATACCTAATTTCCCTTTACAAGTCTGCTAGAAATGTATGCAACACAAAAAGTTTTATCCATTATTAAATCTTTTTTATTGTCTTGTTCTCATTTCTTCCTTTAAGATTGTAAAACTGACATGTAAAAATAAATGTTATATATGAGTGATTGTTACGGAAAAAGCTTCTTTATGCTTGGACAGGTTTGCCATTTTTTAAGTATGTTTTTAACACCACATTTTAGAAAACATGCTTTGTTTTTGGAAAATAAGGCTTTTGTGTTTGCTTAGGTTTGTATTTTTGGGTTCTTGGTTTTTCTTATTGTAAGTGTATTTTTGCTTAAAATATGTTTAATAAATATTGTATAAGACTGTAGTATCGATCTTGTAATTAATTTAGTAAGGATACACTTGGAATAGAATGGAAGGGAAAGCTACATTTTTGCAAACATTTTAGATGTGTTGCCTCTCACTAATTTTGCCAACATAGGATTTTCTGTTACTCATTTTAGATTTGTAAAATGTTTCTTTCTAATAGTTTGTATGGGGCAATTCAAGATTGAATTAATATTATTTAAAGCTTCAAATATTGGATTTTAATAAGAATAAAACTTACTCATTGATTGTTGTTTTTAACTCCTAATATTCAGTTCACCGTCAAGCTTAAAAAGGAAAATGTTTTTGAAAATTTGGAAAAGTTTTTGAATTTATACCATATTTATTTTAAGATATAATTTCTTAAAATGCTAAACATAAAAATTGTGAAATGCTTTTTTTGGGGGGTTCTAATTAGTTAGGTGAGTCCAATGCAGTAGTAGTCTTTCAGCTTTAGACAAAAGACTGTTTTTTGTATAATATTTGAGTCTATGTATGGGAGGCTAAAGACTTAGTTCAAATATAAATGGAAACTAAGATTATTTTTGGCCTCTAAATTTGGTTTTCAAATCAATGTGGAAGTCATTTTAAAACTGGAACACATGAGCACTATTTTATTACAGAAAGAGAACTTGTCTTCAGTTTTACAACACACTGGCAAATAGCATGGTGTATTTGTTAAAATGCATAATTTATTCTAAGAATCCTTTGACATGGTTGTGGAGCATAAACAGGGAACAGTGAAATATCAACATGGTAAGTGGATTGACATTTAACAGGAAGTCTTGTTTACCTGAACTTCTTCTAAGATTAGAATGTTCTGGACAATGTTTATTTGCTAAGGACATAAAAAAAAACAAAAACAAAAAACAAACAAAAAAACATTCCTCTCAGACATGGCATTTAAAAAGCATAACTGGCTCAGCATAATTATCACACTAGTGTAGCAAACAGTGTGTCACCATAAAGGGGTGATAAATGTATTTCATCATGGACTCCTTCAGGTGTATGTACAAGTCTTGTGAAGTTAGGGTGAGATCACTCTATTCAATTATTGCTGACAGCCCTAAAAATTGAAGCCACTGGACGCCATATTGGTACTCCCCAATGCTACTAGTACGCACCATAAAAATACCTACATGTGTAGCATTTGACTGCAAAAATAAGCAGTTTGCCAGGTGCGGGAAGATCTTTCACAGGTAATTTCACAGTAAGTGGACATACTAACCAAGAAAATCCATATATACGTTGATGTATCCCATAGCGTAACATTAGTCTGGCTATCTTGGACCGACTCGAAGACATTGTCTGTGTTAGGTTTGACATTGTGTCTAACCTTAGAAAATAGAAAGCACAGACACGGCATAATAGTATATGGCATCATGCATGCACAATTTGCAAACAGGCAAATACTATAGACATATACTTTATACATATACATTATATATAGACACGTACTTGTAATTCAGTCTTGATGTGAAATCTTCAAATTATATGTAATATGTTATAACAATATATGTATATTACATTTACATATTCAATTTAGCACTTTTGGCACATCTGTATTATTGTGCTCCATTAACACATTAATTTTGTTGTGATTGATTTGTATAATATGTTATATTCCCTGATTTATAGACTTCATTGACTTCATAATGACTATGCAATGTGATGCGCCTATTTTTTATTATAAGTTAAAGTAATCTATGTAATGAAACAGCCAGTGTTTGTGATGAATTTATCTTTATTTTAAAAGTCCCCTTAAAATGAGAACATTATTGTTGTTCAATGCTGTAGCGCGTGTATTGTTTACATTGATACCGGTCTAACTAGGGAGTACCAAGATGGCGGCCGGTGGCTTCACTCCACCCCGTACTACCAACGGGCTATCAGCAATCCAGTAAATATATAGAGATCAGTAGGTGAGATAGACTGATGAGGACAATCCTCACCAATAACTCCTTTGGTCACAATATATGATGGACCACAAAAGGCGGCGTAACATTCATTTCACCCCGCTTTTCCTTGTTCTGGCTGGGTAGTTCACCGGTGAACTGTTAAGCAACGGGTACGAGGGGAAACGGGCGATTTTTTTTTTATTGTGCTTCTACGTCATAGCGACGTTTCATCATCCCATTGGCCAGGAAGCTTCCGGCTTCTTCACCTCGGTCCAGTTTTCCAAAACAGGTGAAACCCACAACATTATGAATCGATAAATGGATCAGATTTAGACCGACATTCAATCCTTTTACCACTATTTCAGTTTTAAGACAGTTTCGTACTGCTTGAGGTCCGGGTTTACCGACTAACTCTAGTTGTCAACTGTTGCGGATTAGTTTTGATCGAAGCGGATTGCGATCATGATGGCGTCGAGCTACAACGCTAAGGAAGAGGACGGACGCAACTCGAATTCATCGACTCACGGCGGGGCGGCAGTGGCGAAAAGTAAAAAACCGGACAACACCGCTTTCAAACAGCAAAGACTCCCTGCCTGGCAGCCAATCCTGACCGCAGGCAATGTGCTGCCTGCGTTTTTCGTTATCGGACTCATCTTCATCCCCATCGGGATCGGCCTGTATGTGACATCAAACAACATAAGAGAGATTGAGGTACAGTTCATTTTTTTATCAGCTCTCTTATCTCCTCTCACAGCCGCCATTGGTAGAACTTTTTTATCTTTCTGCAATGACCTGAGTTAAATACCAACGGCATTTAGAAACGTAGAAAAACATTCGACAGATGCTTCAAACAAGGGCATAGAGAATAGTTTGTTAGACATAAAACAACTAGTGAATTTTTTTTTCAAGAGAAACGGCTTTAGGAACTTTTTTTATTAATGTCTTGTTGTGTAAATTTCCTTTAGCGTTGATGATATGAAAAAAATCATACATGGTAGGATAGGTTGGACTTATGGAAAACCATAAATTATCATTAATAAACACTACAGCCTGACCTTCAGTTTAAGAAAATATGGTTATGTCACATGGAAAATGAAACCTGAGCTTTCTGTCTTCTCAGGGTTAATAATAGTAACATTAAATCATCAGCAAAGTGAAAAATAAAAAACTGGGATGTAATTACTGTGTGTTATCCTTTTTGGATTGTTTGTGCTGTTTTTATGGTAACAGTGCACCACATTTTTATTTTTGGACTTTCCAAGTTTTGGGTTTAATGTTTTTTTTATTTTTTTTTCTCTAACCTGTATTCTCACAAATGGCTCTAGAAGTTTCAGATCAAGGACTTTTGCTTAACTTATTAGCTTGTTTAGATGTCATATTTAACCCGTTATAGGCCAGGTTATAGTTTTTGATCACTTGCATATCCCTTACAAATGAGTCCCCCTGTCCCTCAGTGAGGTCAAGAAGCACAAGATCTATATCCAGATATTCAGCATAGATACTGCTACATGGTTGCACATCTTATTTTGGCATTTGACCAATTAGATGAGCCCTCAAATGATATATTACCTACTGGAAATTAAGTTGAAAAAAATAGTTCAGTCAAAGAAAGCCAAGAAAAAAAAAGGCAACAAGCTAATTGAAAAGTTAATAAGCCTAGTTAACAATTATATTTAGGTTTATAAACTATAAAATGTTAGTGCCAGTATCAGCATGAATGCCTCTAAGTGTTTTTCATGAATTTCTTATAGAACCACTTTTGTTATTTTTCTTAATATATTCAAACAAGTTGGCGTTTCTTGTTATTTTATTGACATTCATTTTTGCTGTCAAAATATCCATATTTTTTAATGTTACAAAGGTAATAAGGTCTTGTCCTGGATTCCAATAACACTATTGGCTTGAACACTGGAAAAGAAGTGCATTTGTTCTAGGATTGAGGAGGCAAAAGAGACAACTTGCCAATGGAATTAGACAATTTACATTTAAAATAAGAAAACAAAATAGCATTGTCTTATTTCAAGTGCATATGAAATTATGATCTTATTTTAAGATTGGCAAACTATCTAAGTTATCTACTGAAATTTATGGTAAATTTACTTAATTTAGGACATTTTTACTTATTTCTAGATCATTTTGCCAATGAAATTTTGATTTTCAAAGTATTTCACTGAGTGCCCTGTTTTAGGTTAGAGTTGATTGCAAATGTTTGATGACAAGAGTAATAACAAGATAAGACTTTACTTCAGTTTAGCTCAGTATCTCAGTGGGGAATAGGTTGAGCTTAATACTGTGCATTTCCCACTTTTATGATTACTTTGTATTTGTAAATGTCTGCACTATCTGTAGGTTTCACCCATTGTATCCATTTCTTGTGTTTTCAGATTGATTACACTGGTTCGGAGTCTGGCAGTCCCTGTAATGACTGCTCCACAAACTTCACCTGGAACACAACAACACCATGTATCTGCACTGTGAACTTCACGTTGAACCAGCCATTTGAGGTGAGCTCGTGCCCTTCAGCAGTTTAGACTGATATAGGTACAATAAATTATTCAATACTTCGCATTCGATTCTGAAAAAGCAGTTTCTACAATTAAAGAGGAGGAAAAAGCACTTACTGTCCATTAGAATCGATTTAGAGTCTAAACAGAAAGCACCCAAGGTCTCCATAAAAGCGTCTTTGGTATTGATTGATGTGCTTATTTATTCTACAGTCTCACTTTTAAGGGACCAATATTGATTATGTAGAAAGTGTACAGGTTATTTATATTATGTTTATGTTTCTTGTTGAAAGTTGGGTTTTAGAAAGCCTAATTTGTATCAAGAAACTGGCAGAAGTGTTGTGGCCCAGATGAATATTTTCTCTCTGCTCAACAGGGTAATGTCTACATGTACTATGGCCTGTCCAACTTCTACCAGAACCACAGACGATATGTCAAGTCCAGAGATGACAGCCAGCTCAATGGGAATATAAAGTCATTAAAGGTGGACTTTTTTTAATTCTTGTGCATCTTTAAAAAAAAGAAAAAACAGAGCTTTTTTAATTCTTATGTAAAACTTTGGATTTTCCAGGAACCCAGTAAGGAATGTGAGCCATACCGTACGGACCCTGTGACGAAAAAACCTATAGCCCCGTGTGGCGCCATAGCAAACAGCCTTTTCAATGGTGAGCTCTGGCAAATGAAACCTTTGAGGAAAAACTGTTCAGCTTTAGTTTTTTAGAATTGACTTTTAATAACACTTTATTTACACAATTCAAAACATATAACAATGATTGATGTAAAACAAGTGTCAACTAAAAATCACTAAATGAGGAGCTTGTTAAACTATAATTGTCCTTCATCTGACACAGCACATGAAATGTTGCTAAAACCCCACAGCTCAATAAAATCCTCCATGTTCTGTGTGGCTCTGTGGAAGTGAAAGTCCAGCCTTATCCTGGCTTTAACTTTGCACTTCCACAAAGCCACGGCATCAAGGTGTTCCTGCACTCTGTCTCTACGGGACAGGTAAATGACCATCTTTGCTTTACTGGTTGAAAAATTTGAAAGTTGGGCCTATTTTGGCAATCTCCTTCTATAAAAAGAGCGTTTGTAAAAACACAAATTAAAAGGCCATGGAGGACAATGATTCTGAGAGCAGTATTTATGTTTAACCATATTGAAAAGATTGTGTTTTTGAGGTTGGTAAAGATCACTAGATGCGCTCCGGCAATATACCATCCATGTTTACTTCCGTAAACACAGAGCATAGAGGCCTGTGATGTCATAGCGTTCTCTAATGCGCATGCAGGACAGTTGCGTTGTATGACTGCAGTTCACTCTGGAGATCACATACAACTCGCATTTATTTGGAAATGTGAATAGCAACGCAAAAAAATCTGATTTCACAAAGAAATTGGAATTGAGTATCGGTGCCTGCAGTGTGAACGTAGCCAAAATGTTGTTAAAACCCACAGCTGAATGAAATCCTCCATGTTCTGTGTGGCTCTGTGGAAGTGAAACTCCAGCCTAATCTTACTTTAACTGCACTCTATCCAAAAAGCCACGGTACCAAGGTGATGGCCCTCCTGCTCTCTGTCTCTACTGGACAGGTAAACCAGGTAAAGGGCCACCTTTGCTTCACTGATTAGCGTTTGTAAAAAGCGTCCCAAAAAAGACTGAAAACACTAATTAAAAGGCTAATAGTTGTCTTTTGTCTGGTGCATTCCATAAAAAATGTGGAACACATTTGCAGACAGAAAGCGGAAAAGACACTCAATTGAAACATCCCGATTAATAACCAAAAAAAACGAATTTAAGGCACCATGTAAAATCCTCCATTGGAGATCAGCAGACTGGTGGAGGTACAGTGTGGTGTACCCCGCCTCTCGCCCGTAGACAGCTGGAGATGGGCACCAGCACCCCTCGAGACCCCACTTGGGATAAGCGTCATTGGAGGCTTATATAAAGTGAGGTGCTTCTTTCTGAAGTTTTTCTGTCCAGATGCAGACCGGCCGGTTCTGAAAATGTCTTTGGTTTTTTTGCTTTTGTGCAGCCGTGGTAAAGGGCTTTCTGGTCCATAGTCGATAAAACCATTCTCTGTGGGTCCAGGCTGGAGAGCAGAGGTCCTCTTTGCTCGGGGAAGCAAGGATCCAGGATCTTGAAAAATAAAAATTTGCAACAAAAAAAAAGTTCAATGCTGTTTTACAAAATACAGATTAAACCAGCTTTAATTATTTTGAATTAAAACTGGTTTTCTATACCAACTTTTAAGATGGAAACAATGAGTTTTTTTTCCTTCTCAGACACCCTGGAGCTGTTTCACAATGAACCCAATGGCAGAACTACTGCAGTTCCTCTGGCAAAGAGAGGCATTGCTTGGTATACAGATAGGACTGTGAAGTTCAGAAATCCTGTCGGCGATAACCTTTCTGAGGTTTTCAAAGGTGAGCTTTTCAAAGAACACTGCAGTTCATTTTTAGACGTGAAATAACTAAACAATGTATCTCAGACACAGAGAAGCCGATGAACTGGATGAAGCCAGTGTACGAGTTGGACCCATCAGATCCGGAAAACAACGGCTTCATCAATGAAGACTTCATCGTTTGGATGCGCACGGCCGCTCTGCCTACTTTTCGGAAGCTCTATCGCATCATCCACAAAAATTCTAGTTCAACTTTGACTCTACCAAGCGGCAGCTACACCTTGAAGGTTGCTTACAGTATCCTTTACAGTCACAACACAAACCATAAATGGTCTAGTTGAGCATTCAGTTATTTATTTTGTAAGAGTCTTTGGCAAAGACTGAAAAAATCTAGCTAAAAGTACTTCTAGGTGGAGCCCAGTGAATTTGAATATCATTTGAAGAATTCATTTATTGCAGTGAATATGTTTAGAAAAGGACATAGGTGAAATATGAACTTTGTTCTTTGTGAGTCTCCTGCGGCTAATATGAATCAAAAATAAATTTTCTTACCTAATTATCATACTACTATCAATCATGTTTGTCGACATACAGCCTGTCAACCTAGATGAGGGAGTTTATTTCCACTGCTATATTCATTCCAGAGTGTATTTCAGCAAATGAAAGAACTTTGAAATAAAAATGACTTTTTTCAAATAGCATTAGAGCTAATCATCAAAAACCTTAGATCATTTGTGTCGACTAGCCACCTGTTTTTTGTTAAAGTCGTAGGGAAGTCGTATTTGAATGTAAAATCATTCAGTTCCATTTTTTTCAACTCTACCAGGTGCTGATTGCGCGTCAGAAGCTCATGAGGCGCTGCATCAGCTGCTCAAATCGCGCTGCAAGACCTTTTTATGCACCTTGATACGTGTCAACCGTAGACTTTGTATGTAAACCAGCTGCTTTTGCTGCCTCCATCACATGCAGTCTGAACGTAGCATTAGATAAAAAAAAGCATTTTGGTCTGTCAATATGGCCCACCTAGAATTCCTCAAGTGGAAAAGTTTGAGTTGCACCTGGTTTAATTTCGTTCAAAGCCTTATTTAAGGAACCTTTTGCTATCCGATTATTAATCAATTAATTGAAAAAATAATCGACAGATTAAGTGATTTGCAAAATATTTGTTAGTTGCAGCCCTAGTTTAAACTTTACAAGTTTAAAACTAGGAAACGAAACCTAATATTAGATGTTTGCAGTGATTTCTAATTGATTAAATTAACAACCGTGACTAAAGCAAGGAACATTTTTCTTTTACAAGCTGAGTCTTTAAAAACATGCTAGTGGGTAAAAATGTGTTGAACAAAGCTTTAAAAAAGTAATGACGCAAATTTAAATGAAGTCCTTTAGCATCTTATGTTTTGCAGCCAGGAGTCTTCTGTTACTTTTCTTTACATGTCATCAGATTACCCCGTTAGCAGCTTCGACGGTCGGAAGCGAATGATCCTGAGCACCATTTCCTGGATGGGAGGGAAGAACCCCTTCCTGGGCATCGCCTACATCACCGTGGGCTCCATCTGCTTCTTCCTGGGCGTCGTCCTGCTCATCATCCACCATAAATACGACTCCCGCAACAACAGCGCAGATATCCCAAACTAAAAAGCTCCCATGTTGGGTCTCAGAGTCTGTGCATGCGCTGCTGGCCCTGAAGGGTCTGCTAAGAGACTGCTTAGCTTTAGTTCGGGTACACTGTGAAAGTCTGTGGTGTGTTTACACAACGGCAGACATTTCTGAAATGTCACATCTTAGCTGTGCTTACCAGTTGTGTGTTGTTTTGTTTTTTTGGTGTATATAGCTTCAAACTGGATGTGTGTATTCTTTAAACTGTTTGCATATATTATATACCGAACCAGTCCTGCTGACGAATGTAACAACTTACCTCTGGTTTTCAAGAAGATCTTTTATTACAAAAATGAAGATTTGTTGCTTTTATGCTGTAATTAATGGTAAACATTTAAACCCAACAAAAGTATTTAACCCTTAAATACACAGATAAAATACTCCTAGCATATACTCCCAACTGTAATTAATCTACACTGTTCTGTTAAGCCAATGTGCTTTAATTGCAAAATGCTTGAGAATGTAACATTAAACTTTACCATTATATCCAGTATTCCCAACTCCAAGGACATTTGAACATGTTTATGGCTAATTACACAACATTAATTTATATTTCCAGTTTAGTTTGGCCCGATTTTAAAATTGTATCAGAAGTCTTTAATGTTGACCAAATGATATGCACTTTACAAGTGTCCCATTTGTTAACCTATATCTTGTTTCATTTACTTTTCTGTTACAATGTTGTTTTAGAACTATCCATACTAAAAATAGCTATTTAAATTTGAAAATTTTGGGTTTTATAAGGTTTTTAGGGTCCAAATAAACAATTCTGTCAATAACTTGGTATCATTTGTAAGTTTTATTTTTTGTTTTTTTAGTTTTAGTTGATATAACGATATTTTGTGCGGAAGATTATCTAGCTGATCACATTGAGCTTTCAGAGCAAGTTATTTCTTTTATGTTTTCATTAGTTTTTATCTATCTATCTATCTATCTATAAAAAAGTTGGAAAGTAATCCACTGGCCTAATCAAGTCATAAAATTTTCAATGGTTTGCTATTGATAGATAGATAGATAGATAGATAGATAAAACTATTCCAGACTCATGGTCCAATAAATACATACATAAAATAAGATAAAAATAGTATTTAAAGTATACATAAAAACTTAATGATGCTTGTTCCAATTATAAATACATTTATTTTATGAATGGATTTTAATTTTAAAGCTGTGGGATATAATTTCCCAAGCATTACCTTGGCAACAGGTAGTGAGAGATTAGTTAACAGAAGAAAACCCATCAGCCATAGGTTGGGCTGCATGCGTGGAGCCCATAGAGCAGAACAGTGTATCGGTGGGCGTGTTGTTTCAAGAAAGTTATGTGACAGATAAAGGAGTTGTTTCTAACTGACCGACTCACTAACATGTTTGATTTTCTCCCGACCTCATGGTTCCTGATCGGGAGGTGGTCGTGAGAGGCTTAAAGTCGGGCCGATTGGAGAATTCTCACAAGACTGAAAATTCGGCCCAAACATCGCACAGTGTATGCCCGGCTTAACAAAGATCCATCGGTGCATTCATGGAGCCTATTGAGCAAAACACTGTATCGGTGCACTGACTCACTAAACTGTTTAAAAATGTATCTGTCAACATGATGAAGCTGCAAAAAAAAAAAAAAAATCACATCTTTTGCAATTTATCATTAAATTAAAAAATTTCGGAGCAGTGTAAAAGGAAGGGGAACGTTTCAACCATTGCGCTTTTATTTAAATGATCTGCATTAAAGTTAATTTCAAATTGACTCTTCGTTTATTCTCTCTTTGTACTATACTCATTGTTTTAAAAATATGATTTAAAATGAAAGTAATGATTTTCGTCACAATCGCTTGTCAGCCATTTTTGCCCAACTCTCCCCGCTTTACAAGCAAAATCAATGGTAACTACTAGACACATCTGCAATCAACAATTATTGAAGAATTCCAGACGACTTCACCATTGAAATTCACCAGAGCTATAGTGAAACTGACAATGCCCACGTGCATGGCAGTTGGACGTTGGAATACATCGGGTAAAAGTAGTGATGGGTCCAGTAAAGCCGGTCATACACTGGGCGATTTTTTTCAATCATTGCACGCAGCTACGGCTCACACTGTACGAAGAAACTGCAGAGTTTCATCGTACAGTGTGAGTTCACAGCTCACGATGTATGTTCTCACACTGTGCGGCCCCATGCTCTGATGCGATCTACCTGCTCACACTGTACGTCTAAAAACCACATCGGGCTCAGCTCCGCAGTGAGATGGCGCTACTCAGACTCGTCTATCCGGAAGACAAACGAGTAGAAGAGGATTATGAAGCTCACTAGAGGGAAATGCACTGCCTTGGCATTTTGTGCAATTGTGTGCTTAAAGCCCTAAAATGAAAAAGTGACGTATTTTGACAAAGACATGGCTGAGCAAATGTGGTCTGTCATTTTTACAGAACTCCTTTTCACTCACACCCCTGCCATGATCCTGTGTTTACATCTGAGAGGAAGAAGAGAAGAGGAATCCTTGTTTAAGCACTGAGCGATTTGCCCCCGACCTCACGCTTCCAGATTGGGAGGTGGTCGTGAGAGGCTGATCACCCCTCGTTACTCCCTGTACACTACACAACGCACAATCAGGCTGAAAGTCAGGCCGATTGGAAAATTCTTGCATGACTGGAAAATTGGCCCGAAACTCGCACATTGTACACCCGGCTTAACACCGATGCATCGGTGCATGCGTGGAGAACATTGAGCAAAACACTGTAGCGGTGCACATGTCGTTTCAAGAAAATCATGTGACTGATACAGGAGTTGTTTCTAACTGACCGACTCACTAAACTATGTTTAAAAACTCATCTGTCAACATGATGAATCTGCAAAAAAAAAAAAAAGTCACATCTTTTGCGCTTTATCATTAAATTTATCAAGAATTTTGGAGCAGAGTAAAAGGAACAGGAACGTTTCAGCCAGTGCGCTTTTATTTAAATTATCTGAATTAAAGTTCATTTCAAATTGATTTTCTTTACTGTTTTTACTGCACTCATTGTTTTAAAAATATGATTTTATATCCTAGTCCACAAGCATCCTCATTCACAGTTTCCCCTAAATTTTCATGTTATGATTCATGTTTACATTATTTATTGGCTGCATTTAAAAATATCAAAGATATTTTCAATTTAAATATAAATATGAAATGATAAAATATAACACAATAACTTCAATTATATCATTCTAGAAGGTCATCAAATCAATTCAGTTTAGTCTGTCAAATAAGCTACGTGCACTGTCTCTAAATGTCCAGCAGGTGCAGTATTCTGTGAGAGAGTATCAACGCAGCAACAATATAGTTTGGCAATGTGTCGAACTGCTTCGAGCTGCCTCTTTAAACCATCACTACCTAACAGTACCCTACCTAACAATTTTTTCAAGATGACTTATGAAATATCGCATTGTGACAAACACCAGATACAGCATTGGGACTTGCTCAACAGCCGATACCAAACCATGACGTCACAAACCTGTAGGTGGCAGTAGTGTTCTTTGACCAACATGGATGTCTCCAGTAAAGCACATTCAAATGAAAATTACTCTTAATTAAAAACACTTATTATATAGAAAAGTATCTAATAATTTAATTTTTAAAGTATTTTCAGAAGTTTGAATTGTGAATATGACCGTTCTTTTCCTTTAAATGGTCTAATTAACTCATATTCTAAGTATTACATGGAGAAGTTGTCCTTCTAATTTTCATCTGGCCAGCAGATGGGCCTATAGTTCAACTTATTGCAAAGCTCAGATGTTGCACAATTAGACAAATTTATGCAACTCTAGTGGACCACTGACTTGCTATTCAAATCATATTATGTAAGACTGTATTGTTTACCATCATCTAACTTTGGTTAACCCCAGATTTTCTCTTTACAAACAAACTGTAAATCTCTTATTGGGAAATCAAAGCATCTGATCCTTTAGCATGAAATAGATGCCCATGTGTTGTTCTTTTAGAATGATAAATTGCTTTTTTTCCGTCTTTGATCAGCAGAATAATAGTGCGCCAATTCATCTGTAGGGTGGGATTTTTTTCTACAGAGCCACACTGGCTCTCAGTGTGTTTGGTATGTCAGCACTGCTTCTAGATTTGATGACTAAGCCTTCAGATGTCTCAGTCTGTTTTTAGGGGATGTAATACACAATGCACCCATGATTTGACCCCAATGTTATTATGGAAACAGTGTCTTTGAGGGTAAGATTACTATAATTTCATGATGTATCATCAAGGTCCGTATAATCAGTTGTGTTGGATTACAGTCACATCGCTGACACTTGTTTTGATCTATTTCGGGGGGAATGGATATATTTTGTGTAAGATTTTTATATGAAAGAAGTCTAAATTAAACTGATTGCTGTACCGGACTTGGTTGTCTGATGAAAGAGCAATATATTTATGTTGTATTAATCAATCTCTTTATACATTAATACCACAACCATTTTTTTTCCTTAAACAAAATCTTTTAGACAGACATTAACATGATCTAAAATGTTGCAGTTTCAAAATGTACTTAGAGTACTAAAATGGATAAAAAATGTTCCCATCTATCCTGCTACGCATTCAGGGATTATTAATGTTTACCATGAATCTGATTCTTCTGGAACACCATTGTCAAATTGAACCAGATTGCAACTGAATGAGAAACAAGCCTCTGCTCCAAAATTGCCTGAATGGAAAACACCTTCTGGGGAAAATTCCTGCTCAGATGAAATAAACATATATTTGGAGTCAAAGGAAAGGTTTTAATTTTGAGGACATTGTACAAATTGTTAGGTATTGAGTTGGGAACACTATGTTATGAAATTGTTTAGCCACCAACAGTACTGATAGGAAAATGCAGGATAGACTTATAAAGGCAGGGGTGTAGGCTGAAGTTAGTCACAACGATAAAAGGTATGATTGGATAAGTCAGAGGAAGACTTAAGATCAAAGATGGTGGCATGTTTAATATTGTGAATTGCATAGACGAATGGATGCAACTCTGAAGAATATATTATATATCAGCCAAATTAAAGTTTCTTTGCAAACGTTCGAATTTAATCATTATTATAATATAATTCAGTCAAACTGTGGTAGCCTACTGGTCGTTTGCAGATAGAAAGTAATAAAGGGATTCCTTTTTTTTTATTAAATTTTTTATTTTTTTTATTATTTTTCTTTTAGATATATTTTTATTATAATGATTTTTATTATTATTATTATTATTTTCTTTCATTTTATTTTGTTTTAAATGAAAAAGAAAAAGAAAAAAAGCTCCAGCTTGATTTTGACTTGGATTAAGTCTTCCACCGGGATTACATTTTCAAAAACTCATTAAAAATGTTTTTGAAAGAAATAAAGCAGTCCAAAATGAAGGTTCTTTTAAAGCCCTCAATATGAAGGATAATAATTTGTCTGAGAGTATTATATAGCTTATTTTTGGGCAGAAAATAAAAGGTGACACATAAAATAGTATGTCTCGGATATATCACATTGAAATTAGTAAAAATATTTCTTTTTGTATGCATTAATGTTAAAAAAGGCCTAAATACATCCTAAATGAATATGGGCTTTAATATATGCCCAGTATATCTCCTCAGGACTGTACCAGCTCTGTTCCAACAATTAGACAGAATAATGTACTATCAGCAATCTGTTTAAAATATTATTTGATTCTACATTTTATTAGCCTCCAGATTAAAAAGCTTTTACTTCCCTTTGAACTACTTTCCTGTAATGCTTTATTCTAAACACTGGGGTGCACTAAAAGCCTGCCAGTAGGGAGGTTGAATGGATCGCATCTTTAAAGCTACTGTGTCCAACAGAAACCAATTTTCCAGATTTGATTCATGTTCTGTTTAAAGCACAGAATGCATCTCACTTACAAATCAACTTTTTTTAACGAGTCAATTCTGATGAATTTCTGTTTCTCCAGATGGAGAAATTCTCCTCATATTTGTTTAGAGAGCATAAAATCCATATTTACATTATTAAAGGCTTTCTGCTCCAAATGAAACACTTCCCCCTGTCAGAGATGTCTGGCCAAGTACTGTGAGGTCATATTAGATCTGGAGACTCGTTATATCAACAGACTAAAAGAATGCAGGGTGGGTGGGGGGGTCATTTCCAAACTTGGGCTCCCTCTTTGCGGGGGACATACATCAGCAGGAGGCAGAGCTTTCACAAGAAACCCATATGTTAGTAAAGCAAGAGCTTGGAACTGCCCCCTTGTTAAGTAGCCGATGGTGGAAAGATTCTTCCCACTCGGAAAAAGGCTTTTGCTCCTGAGACATCTGGCTGGTGGAGGCTCCTGTAGTCCCTACAGAGGACAGAGGGGTCCATTTCTCTGTTGGCTTACAGAGTGAGGGGCTTCAAGCAGGCTGATCTCAAATCTGCTCCCTTTAGTTAACAACGGGAGCTTTAATTGGTAAGTAGGCATACTTTTATTTATAATCACATGGAATTTTATATAGATTTATATATTTTTTTCAGATTTTTTAAAAGAATAAAGATAACACCCTTTTATATATTTTGTTCTACCTTTATTGTTTTATACAGATTTACATTTTAAAATCATTATACAGTTTGTTATTTTGACTGATCACTTTATTTTGTTGATTTAATCAGTGGTGCATCTAAAGGGCATATCCACTTAAGATTTAATTTAATTTTATATGAAATGGATCAAGCAGATCCATATCAACCCCATTTTTTCGATGCAGTTTTTTTGCTTGAGCACCAGGCGGGGTGCAGAACCTGCTTATAAAACAGCTGGGCTTGCAATAACCTGAAGAGCACATTTCTACAATACTTTTTAGGAATATAAAGTTATAGGAAAGATGATGAAGTCACTTTAAACTCTTCAGCTGCCGACTCCCTCTGCATCAAATGAAGGATTTTGAGCTATTTGTGCACAGACTTGGTTTTTGGTAAACGTAAATGAGCACATAGACTTTCCCCGGAGGGCATGACTAAGTGAAAACCACAGATTTAGGTGCATGTAGTGATCTGCGTTGTGAAGCAGCAGAGAGATCAAAGGCAGCCAGAAAGCAATCAGTTTGTGTCTTTAGAAACTTGAAACCAGATGAGCTTTTCTTAACAGTTTTTTTTATTTTTTTTTTAAATCCCACTACAGTGTTAATTATACACCTCAGGGCATGGGTGTGGACTCAAAGCAACAAGGTGTGGCACTTATTGTGTAAAGAAGCCTGTACACAGAGTTTTTTTAGATGATGAGGCATCTTAGATCACTTGTTAATTCTGCCAACTTTAAGAGTTATCCTGTCCCAACCCTGGGATGCCCCTGTAGCAGGGTGAGCTGAGTAAGCTGGTGGCTCAAACATACCTTCTGTCCTGACAGATTGATTGATGCGCTGCTGATCCTTCAGGGTCAAACATGAAGATAAGGCTGTCGCTGGCCTTGGCTGCTGCCTTCCTCGCAGCCCTGCTGCCCTCTATAGATGCTCAAGGTAAATTAAGCCACCCGGTCTTTCTCTTCTTCTGACATAACCTGTCCTGCTCTTTATCTCTCCTTCTCCTCTTCCCTTTATATCTCCACCAGTTTTAGATATTTATGTATTTTCAGGTTTTTTGTCAGTAAATGATGAAAGTGATAAATGAACTGTATGCCCCCTGATGAACTAAATAAAGCTACTGTTGAATGTGCTTTCATTATGTGAATGAGTCCATGTTGACTTTTTTTCCCTCTTACCCTTTAATTTAAAAAGGATTTAGTCTGACTGATCTAAAATGACTTTGTATTTAAGGAGCAATTAAAATTGGATAAACAAACTATTCAGAGAAATTTTCAGATTACCGAATCAAAGCCTATTTCACTTGTAATTTAGCAGGAAAGTGACTAGAACAAAAATGATTTAACTAATAATGTGTGTTCCTTTTTTAGCAATGTGATGCAACATCTTTTTTTCCCCAATGAAAAACAGGAAAGCAGCCAACATCCTTGCAATTAAACTCTTATGTCCTCATTAAAACATGTTACAGGATAGGATGTTGCGTATATGTAAAAGTTTCCCTACTGTGGTTTTAGAACGCCTGCAGCAGTAACTTGTAAAACAATCAGTTAGATCCAGTCATTTCCAGTGCAACTAAAAGTTTACGATATGGATAGATTACTGTTTTACGTTATAAATGTTTATAAAAGGAAATTATTTCATCCCCAGCTTCAATTTACAGCTCACACATCACTTTACCAGAAGTTGAATTCTCCATTATGTAAAAATAAAAGGATAATACATGATAGATGACTGACAGTATGAAGTTGCAGGAATAGTTCTGACATAAAATGACTTATTAATGTCTTATGCAACCACTCCATTCAGAGCTAATAGCAAAGATGATTACAGGGTGTGGAAACTTTCTGAGATTTTCCTTCTGTGAGCTCTTCTCCCTGGTGAGAGGAGTCTGCCCTCACATATCTTCATAAGTGGAATGGAAAGATGAAATCTGAGAGCAACAAGTTACTCCTCAGACAGCACAAAGACAAAGAGGCTTTCTGAGGTTTTCTTTTTTTTTTTTTGCGGGCATTAGTAGAAATGCTGAGTTGCGAGACATATGGAAAGTTAATATGCGCCAGTGTTTAATGTCAGCACATGTTGCGGAATTACTTTGGCATTTTTCCTGCCTCTTTGGGGATGGCTTTCTTCTCTCGGTCTCCTCTCCTGGCGGTCGTTCTGGTCAGGACCGCTGACTGGCTGACAGGATGGAGACTGAGGTACCACAACAGTAGCCAGAATCTGGCCCCTGGGAACCATGGTGTCTTTTTATTGAGAGCTAACGGAGCCATCATCCATCTATCAATAGCAAAACCACAGGATCTAAATAACGGACCAGAGTGTGTCATTCTATACCAATCCATCTTTGTTCCTTGAGTAAATAGTCTAACCAGTCTCACTCAAACCACTTCAACATAATAAAACAACTGAAAAATCCATTGAGTTCCAACACCAGACCTTCCTACACTCCTACATGTCCAGTACTTTATTCTATGCCTCCATTCGATGAAGAAAAAAAGGGGAACGCGATCTTCGGGGCTCCTTGAGTTGAAATGCCAGGTTGGTGAACCTCCAATCCAGATTTTTAAGTATTTGGCGGGCTCCTGTTTGTCATCTGCCTGTGCACTCAGTGTGTCCCAAGCTATGGCCCTTTCCTCATAGTGGATTTTAAAATGATATTCTTGCTTCCTGTGTGGAGCAGCTCTTTGCTGATGGTTTAATGTCTACTGCATGCTCTTATACTAACTTCATCCACATGATTATACAATACGAGCTCCTTTAACGCAGACAGACGTCTAAAGGAAAACTTGTGTGTGCATTTAATCAGTTTTGACATTAAATGTACTATGTAGTCATGGCAGGATGTAGCAGGGTGGGGGTCAATGGGCTACAGCCAGTTTTGCGGCTCCACCCCCACAAGCTTCTTTATGCATGCCAATTACAACAGATTTATGGTTTAGCAGAGAAAGTGTTCATAAATCCTCATTCTCATCATTAAAACAATTAGCTAAGTCATATTTTACCGAGACTAAAATTTGACCAGACTAATCTATTCTTCTAGTTTTTCATAAAATCAGTTTTGATGTTAAATGCACTCTGTAATCAGGCCGAGTTTTTGCATCATGTGTGGCCCCTCTCACACAAGCTATTTTATACGTGCAAAGTACAGTAGGTTAAATTTTGTATACAGTAGAGATCCTTGTAGTTGTACTTTCCAAAAGAAGGTCAAAAAAGAAGATGACCATTTTTAGAAATGCTGTCATCCCTATAAAAAAAGGACCAAAAAGTTATAGTATGTATGCAAGGTTTGCATGTCTCGAATTATGTAGAAAGTGACAAAGACCTTGTCCGATTTGTATTTTTTAAAGATGCATGTTACTTGTAAGGAATAGTTTGTATATTAATATGTAGCCTGACTTAACTTCAGGTGATACAGAAAACAGTTGGAAAACTAACACTTTGAACACTTTTGATACGAACAAATACTTTTTTATGCATGCAAATAACTCCTACTTGCCTGTCCTTTTATTTTGAACTCAGAATATCATTTTAAAATACGTTTGTCATCTCTGTCTGTGGTTCCAACTTGCACATGGATACCTACCTATTCACCAGTCAGTCAAAGTTGTTCATTTAAACAACTTTCTCATGTACATGATGCATGATGCTGTGACTGAATCATCTTAATGTAAAGATTTGCGCCGTCATGAAACACTTTAGAAGTTTTTTTGTTGTTCTGTTTGTTGTATTTTTTTGCACACTTTTTCTTTGTTATTAAACTTTTTTTTTTTTTTGAACAAAGTTGTTTTCTAGTGCATTAAGCCAGAGAAAAAAGTACACAAGAGTCTCCAGCGACGAATTGTGTATTCTTTTTTACAGGTTTACAATGGATGGGTGCCACTCACTAGTGCAAAGTGTTTTAACCAAATAAACTATAAACCACTTCCTGTCTCTGAAATATGTTTATATACAATAAACGTATATATAACATATGGTGCTCAGTTCTGACCATCAGAAACTATATGGCAATCTTGATTCCATTGTATAATCAGTAACTGATGTTTTCTTTTTGTAATACTGAGCTCAACTTGATCATAAAAGCAGTGTAGAATGTGGTCGGGGCATGCAATGTGATGACTGCACTTAGCATGTGTTGTATGGTTCACAGTGTTTGCACTTTTGTGCACTTGAAATGTGTTTGCCAGTGCTTGAGTTGCTTGAGCAACTCAAACAGGTGCCATTTTGTTCCAAAATGGCTTCTCACTTCAAATGTCGTCACATGTTCTCAATCTGTCACTCTCACCAATGGATGTCAGCTCTTTGTGCCTGCCCCCAACAATGAACAAGCGAGCTTCACTTGTGAAGTGTTTGTTGTTGGAATTCCTGTGAATGCCTGAATAAAATGCCTTGTGTTTATTTTGACCATACATTCACATTTACACATAGCCTTCATTTTGGAATGGAATTTAATCGTGTTTGATCCTCTGTTTGCAGTGGAACCGCCCTCAGATTTGAAATTTAAAATACTAAATGAGAACACAGTGGAAATGTCATGGGTAAGACCCTCTGCAACAATAGAGGGCTTCAGAATACAAATTGTATCAGATGCAGGTAAGAATAAAACAGTTTATGTCAAGTTAATTTAAGCTTACAGCGTACTAAAATGATACTGCAACTGAAAAGTTTATTATTTTTTTCCTCCAGACGAACCGGCAAGATATTTAAACCTTAATGCAGATGTCTCTTCAACATCTATCACCAATTTGACGCCTGATTTAGACTATACGGTGTCAATAAGTTCCTACAATGGTTACGAGGAGAGCATCCCCATCTATGGACAGCTGACAAGTATGTATGATATTTTTTTGCAAAGAGAATAATTTAAACAGTTCTTTAACTTCAAGAAGATTTTGGGGAATCTAATGTCTGTTACATCCAGAGTACTTCATTTCCAGCATTTTTTTTCTTCTTCATTCATTTAAATGTTTTTGACATGTTCTGGCAAGCATTGTCATAGAGAAGACTGCAGACTTTACGGTTTTATAGCAGTCATTGACACCCTCCACATAAAGCAGTTCATAGAGTACTGATTCAAACTATGCTAATGAAAAGGTCTGGCAAAACACCCCCCCCAAAAAAGAAAATGAACAAACAAAAAAAAATTCTGCCTTTTAGAAAATTCTATAAAGGCCACTGAAGATGTTGAGGGAGACACACCAGGTCCAAAGGTAGCAAGGTCGTGCGTCCTTTTATTTAGCTTTCCAATAATATGTCAGTTAAAAGTCCGCTCAATCTCTTTTATTCATGTTAACCAAATTGTCAGACCAATGCTTAAATATATTACATTAAGTATAGTTGGATACTAAAAAACAATAACTGAACTTTATTGATATGACATTGGAGAAATTTACCACTGCATTTAACCCATTGTGCAGCACCCGGAGAGCAGTGTGGGAGCGGGGCTCAAACTCAGAACCTCAGGATTCCAAGCTCTATGCGCTAACCACTAGGCCGTCACTACCCTTGATGAATACAAGCTTTCATTAGATTGCAAAAAAAAAAACAAGCTAATTTTGCAATGATATTCTAATTTATTAAATCACATTGCACTGGCATCTAAAGAAGCCACTTTTTTCTACAAATGAGTCAATATTTTCTTATACTGAAGAGGTAATTGAGACACTTTGCCAATGGAACAAGACAATTGACCTTTAAAATAAGAAAAAAAAAACTATTGCATTGTCTTAATGCAAGTGCATAGTATCTACAGTATTTATCTTATTTTAGGAGTATAAAAACTCATTCCATTGGAAATCATCGTATTAACCTACTCAAATGAAGGATAAATACACTTGATTTAAGAAAAATGTTCTTGCAGTGTGCACATTCGTACTTATCCTATCTAGTTTCCTCAGTATTATGACAAAGCTTGCAAAATACAAGTCTTTGTTTATATCAAGAGACTTTAGACACTTTAAATGTATTTGGCTTTTAAAAAGATGAAAATTGAGTTAAAAGGCCTTTTTTTCTGTAGCTTCCGTGAGCATGGAAATATGGAAAAAGTGAAAGGACTCTGTTTCCATTTAGCCACAGGGGACATTGGAAAGTCAAATCTGTTTATTGTGTAGAGTTGTTCACTTTGCATAGTTTATGAATGTGGTTCTTAATCCTGCGGACTCAGTTTTACAATGTGTTGATTTTCTTGCCTGTTCTCTTTTGTGAGAACTTACACAATGGATCTGGAGTTTTACTGCTGCTACTCACCAAGTTTCCCTCTGTTTCAGTTCAGTCAAGTAACGCCAGTGGACGAGGCAGGAAGCCACATTTGGATGCAATCAGTGAGTATGTTTACTGTGGTGGAGACCAAAACCTGAATAAGGCCAGTGCTCCCATGCAGTCTCTGAAAAATGTTTTTGCTCTTTTTTTGATTTAATCATAAAATGGATTGCTAAACAGACAAATTTTTGATACTCACAGGATGAGCAAACATACAATCCAACAATATATAATTTAATTCAAAAAACCTTTTTATGGTTTAAAAGCATCTTTGAAACTCATATTCAAATTTAAACTAGAAAAAAGTATTTTTTTTTTTGAGAAATTGGTATTTGAACTTGTATTCAAAGAGGTCACATAAGCCCTGTCAGTGGAGTCATCTTAAATGTTCCAGAAAATTTCACTTATGATTTAAATCCTTTTGGATTTTAAAGCTGAAAAAAATATCCTAGTCTGTGGAGCCTTAGCTGAATGTTTAGTCTGTAAAGCCATCTGCTGGAGTAACTATACCAGCCCACTGTTTGGCATCAGTTGATTTTTCCCCTTGCAATCCTAAATGCAGCTCATAGCCATCCAAGTACCTGTCAGGAATTTGATTTTATTTACATATTCAGAAGAAATGAGGTATAAAACTTACTGTCCAAAAACCAGCCGGTTGTCATATATTTACTGGCACTTTACTTTGAAATGAAAATTTACCTTTTTTGAGGAATAAACAGTTTTTTTTTGTTATTGTAATTGGCGTTAGTCTTAATAATCCTGATTGGTCTAATGTTTTAGACAATATCTTAATATTTGTTTTTCCCCTCCGATCATGTTTAATCTTTTTTGCTTCTCTACTGTTTTTTGTCAGAGTGTTCTGTGAGTGCCATCACAGATTTGGTTTTTCTGGTGGATGGCTCATGGAGCGTTGGCAGGGAAAACTTTCAGTACATCCGTAGTTTCATCAGCTCCCTGGCGGGGGCCTTTGACATTGGCGAGGACAAGACCCGAGTCGCTGTGGTTCAGTACAGCTCAGATACCCGCACAGAGTTCCCCCTTACGCGTTACACCAGAAGAGGAGACCTTCTCCAAGCCATCAATTCAGTGCCTTACAAAGGAGGAAATACAATGACTGGTAAGGGGATAAATTGACTACAAAGGTGTTGGGTTTCTTAATGTTTTATTTATGCCTATATGAAATAAAAGCTGCATAATGCATTTCTTTATTTAGGTGATGCCTTGGACTACCTGCTGAAAAACATCTTCACTGAGGCAGGTGGGTCAAGAAAAGGTTTTCCAAGGGTAGCCATGATCATCACAGATGGAAAATCCCAGGACCCGGTGGAGGAGTATGCTGAAAATCTTAGGAGCATTGGAGTGGAACTATTTGTCCTAGGTATGTTTTATTATTCAGTGTTTCCTTAAATTGTGAAGGCCTGCCTATTCTTGGAAACAGTTTGTCTTTTCCATTTGTTGCTCTTTATTTGATCCACGGTTGCCTTTAGGAAAAAAAAATACTGTTGTTTTCCATAACTTATGTGGTTCTCCAGAGCTACTGAGCATCTGTCACATCTGCGAAGAAGACAGAAAGACTTGACTTACTGGTGTTGATCCACATCTATCTGTGCAGGTATCAAATCAGCAGATGTGGATGAGCTCAAAGAAATTGCATCTAAACCTCATGGCAAACATGTTTACAATGTGCCCAACTTTGACCTGATTCAAGAGGTCCAGAAAAAGATCATCGCTGAAGTTTGCTCTAGTGTAGATGAGCAGCTTACAGTTTTGGCTAGTGGGGATGAAAGTAAGTCTAATCGTATTTATTCAATGCGGATTTAGCGCTACATTGATTAAACACTTTTAATTCACAACAATGTAATTTGTCTTTCATCTGATACCAGTGGTGGAGCCTGCCTCTAACTTGCAAGTAACAGAAATTGCATCCAAGTCAATGAGGGTGACATGGGACCCATCCCCGGGGCAAATTACTGGCTACAAGCTAACTCTTATTCCCATGGTTCCTGGAATGAAGCGCCAAGAACTATACATTGGACCCACGCAGACATCCATAAATGCACGAGACCTCTCCCCTGAGACTGAGTACGAAATCAGTTTGTTCGCCCTGAAAGGTCTGACACCAAGTGAACCTATTCTGGATCTGGCGAAGACTCAGCCTGTCAAGGTGTCCACTGGTAAGTGTAGTCTACTCTTCCTGAAAATGCAACTTACTAAATATACTCAACTAATTAATAATGTTCTCTTCTTTTCCAGAGTGCTCTCTGGGAGTGGATGTTCAGGCTGATGTGGTGTTGCTGGTTGACGGCTCATACAGTATTGGATTAAAGAACTTTGCCAAAGTCCGTGCCTTTCTGGAGGTTTTGGTCACGTCTTTTGACATTGGACCTAATAAAATACAGATTAGCTTGGTCCAGTACAGTCGAGATCCATACACTGAGTTTGCCCTAAACACCCATCATGACATTAATGCTGCTGTCAAAGCTGTGCGCACCTTCCCCTACCGTGGTGGTTCCACAAACACTGGCAGAGCCATGAAGTATGTCAAGGATAAAATCTTTGTTCCAGCTCGAGGAGCCAGGGATAATGTTCCACGCGTCATGGTTCTCATCACCGATGGAAAGTCATCTGACTCTTTTAAGACTCAGGCCACCGACCTTAGGAATATTGATGTGGAGATATTTGCTGTTGGTGTAAAGGACGCTGTAAGATCTGAGCTGGAGGCCATTGCCAATCCACCGGCAGATACTCATGTCTATGAAGTTGAGGACTTTGATGCCTTCCAGAGAATTTCAAAGGAACTGACTCAGTCCATCTGTCTGAGGATTGAACAGGAACTTTTAAAGATCAAAAAGAAAAGTAAGATTGTGTAGAATGTCTAATTAAAGAATTAGAAAGTCCCTTTGCTTTTAAATTACTGCACCTGTACTGTCTTTTAAAATGGAATACTCTATTCCGGCAGGTCTCCTTCCTCCTCAAGATTTACGATTCTCTGATATCACCTCACGAAGCTTCAGATCTACTTGGAAAGCTCCTGCTGCTGCTGTTTTGTCTTACCTTGTGCTCTTCCGCAAAGCCGAAGATGTCACTGGAGACTATGTTTCCTTGATAGTGCCAGGTGACACGACCACAGCCGTTCTTCCCAATCTTTATCCATTAACCACCTATGAAGTCAACGTTTATTCTCAGTATGATAAAGGAGACAGTTTTCCTTTGACTGGTGAAGAAACAACCCTGGAAGGTGAGCTGTTTACCAAGATAAGGATTAAGATTTCTGAATGGAGGAAAGATTTTTATTTCTAATGAAGCTTTCCCTTTCAGAGCAAGGTTCTGTGCGGAACCTGCGAGTGACAGAAGAAACAACAAACAGTTTCAGGGTGTCATGGCAGGCTGCTCCTGGTTCTGTGATAAGGTACCGTCTGTCCTATGTTCCTCTAAGTGGCACAGGAGAAATACTAGAGGCCCAGACCATTGGAGCAGAAACTACCATAGTTCTCCAAGAGCTATTCCCAATCACCACTTACCGTGTCTCTGTATCTCCTGAGTATGCAAGTGGCATTGGAGATGAAAGAAGTGTAGATGGTACCACCAAGGAGAGTAAGTCGTGAAACTTTTGAGAAATATTTTTGTAAACTTTTTGCCTCCTGAGTGTGAGGAAGATTCTTAATTTATTCTCTCTTTTTTAATTTACTCTTGTTTTCAGTTCGAGGATCTCCACGAGATCTTCGTGTCTTTGATGAAAGTATATCAACAATGAAACTAGCATGGCAGGCTGCTCCGGGGAATGTCCGTCAGTACAGCATTGCATATAAACCAGCAGAAGGAGGTGAGAGAAACGAGATATCTGTCAACGGCGATACCACCCAGGCAATGCTGAAGAACCTTCAACCAGCCACTGAATATGAGCTGTTTGTTACTGCGCGCTATTCCACTGGCTTTGGGGATCCTCTTCTGGGTACAGGAACTACTTTAGAAGGTAAGACTCAGTTTTACTAAACCTTTAATTTGACACTTTAAAGCATAGTAAAATGATTGTAGTAAGTTCTCAGTTGGGTCAGATCTTGGTTTAGAGCAGAGGTCAAGGATTAGCGGACCACTGGCCAGATCCGGACCCACATGCTGACTAATATGGATCCAGCCTGATTTAAAACATTTATAAGTTACCTTATGCTGTCCGACAGCAGTGTCTAATTTCACTTGTGCCGCTTGTCCTGTTTGTATGGTAAAGCTCTCCGGGACCAGGCTACACTTGATGCATATTAGCCAATGAGCTGTGTCGGTCAGGGCTGTTGCCGCTAGCTACTTTTAGACACAGCAAGCAAACCTGTGGCAAGCCGGGCGATAGGTAATGATGATGAGAAAACGTGAAAGAAAGTGTAGACTGCTGGGAGAAGCGCAGTGAACTGGTGACAGATATGTGCAATGGCGTGCTCAGAGATGACCCTGCACATTTTGATTATGTTTGGCTCAAACTACTTCTGTGAAGCAGGGTTCTGCACCGTGAACATAATAAAAAATAAATATTGAATTCAAAATGAGCAACTTGATATGTGCTTGAGAATGGCTTTGTCTCTACTCGAACCCAGGTTTAAAGCATTGCGGGTCAGCCTAAAGCCCACAAGCCATAAAAAAGAAAAAACCCCAAACAAACGGTCAGTTCAGGTGTTTTATAAAATATGTGAATCAGGAAATTGTCTATATAGCAAACTGAACTATGTGGTTCTCTACTTCAAAAAACGCTGTAGATTTTAAAATCGAAAAATTTTAAACATTTTAAAAATATTTTTAATTTAAAAAGTCAATGTATAACATGGATGCATAAAAACCTAATTTCGTTTCAGTGTTAAATTCTGTTTAAAGTAACAGATTATAATTAAAAATCTCTTCGGACCTTTACTGATTGTTGACTGTCTTTATTTGGACCCCACTGATGTTTAATTCGTTACCCCTGGTTTAGAAGATCAACAATGCAGACTCCTTAGCTCCCACTGCCTGGCCCCGGGACGTTTTTGATGTCACATTTTGTTTTGCATCTAACAGCAAGCTAATTTGTAAATAGAACCCAACATGTTATACCTCTTTAGAATAAGGGGATCCTAAAGAAAATGACCATCAACTCAATTGTAGGCAAATTATACTCGACAAACACAGATAACCTACAATCTGTCATCAAATTACAACTTATGTTTTCCACTTCTTACTTTGTTTTCATCTTCTGGGATTCCTAAACACATTCTATCATGGCATAAAGAGGCTACAGAAAATGAATATTCTGTTGTATTTCCTATGAAAATAAAATCCTGAGTCAAAACAATCAACTAAAGATTTTTTTTTTCCCATGGCAAAGTGAAAATAGAAGCAATATCTTTTGTGTGTTACTTGGCCCTTATTCACCAAACTGCTCCCAAAATCTTGTATAAGTTCCTTTCTCAGTATCCAGAGTACAATGAAAACATCCTTCACCTAAGAAACAGCATCTTAGAACTCCACAACTGAGTGACCAATGAAACTTTGATTCACATATTTTGTTAGCCAATGAGATAAGCTTTGTAAGCATCTTCACCAGCATGTTGCAGGTTCTGGTTGTAATAAGAAAAAAACTGAGAAAAAAATCAATATTTAAACAAGACACTGAGTTGGACTTATAATCAAAATCTATTTTGTACATGTTTTTGAAAAGAGGAAATAACGTGGAACGCAATGTAATCCTTTTGGCAAAAATGGTTGGTTTGGGTAGCTTTGCTGCTCATAAAGGAAGTGAGAGTTACAGAATTTGGAAAACTTTTACGCCCTGAAAACATATGGAACGACTTGAATTTGACCTAAGCTCCATTTTTCCGGTAGTGTTTTTATACCTTTGCCTTTATGGAATGAGTGACTTATTGAATAATGGAAGCTTCTCAAATATTTAGGATATTCTGTTGCTGCAAAATACCATTCCACTCTGAACATAACTAATTACTGCGGATTAGTTACCTTCCTTTGGACACAACTCAGAGTGCAGCAGCTGCAGGCCAGCTTTCAGCTAAGTTGATCATGTGGCAATGGTAGCTTGGTGTTCTGTTCATCTCATGTAGAGCAGATTGTTGTTGTTTCGCACCACAGGGAAGAAAGGTCGGAGAGACAGAGCTAAACAGGGGCAAGGCTGGAAAGGACATCAACAAAATGCTTTGTATAGCAGAGGATATCATTTTTCGGCTTGTTGTACTGTGAGTTGCAGTGTTGGTAAATTGGATCTTAAATCTAAATCATCTGCTCAATAATTTTAAGTAGGATGCTTCCTTGACCATAATACTCTGAGCTCGAAGCTTAACATCAATTACTGAATTAGGCTGTAATAAAAACTTATTTGGTTGGCTTGAAGTCATATGACTTGCTTATGATTAGGTGAGGACTATTGTTTTAGGCCCTACTAAACAATAATGGGCAAACAATTAGGATGACCTGATTTAAATTTGGCACTCCTTTTAAAGTTGCTTAATGATCAGAAAAAGACTAAAATTACAGGAAAATGTAGTTAATTTGTCATCATAAGTGTCATCAAACTGTGTTGTGGTTGCATTGAACCATAACCAAAGTTTGCTTGATGTAATAAAAAAAAAAATCTAATGACACGAAAAAATGTAATTATCCTTAAAGAGCTCTTGTTTCCAAAATAAATCAAAGTAAGTGCTTTCAATTACAGATAAAGATTAAATCGGTGCTCTCATCAGCTACACACCCCCTCACTAAAGGCCTTGCTGAGAAAGCACTTTTATTACCCACCTAAAGCTATAAAGCTGTCATTCCACAACAATAACCTAACTGTGTTGTATGCTGGGATTTGCTTGACCAACTCTGTGAAGTCTGTGTAGGCAAAGACTCAAAGGCTTGCACAGAGACCTCCCTTGTGTCCACCAAGAAGCACTTGCCAAGACAGGAGCCTTGAGCTGGACAAAAACATCCTGAGAGGACTCAGCTGGAGCACACAGAGGGTGTCAGTAGGAGGCTAGTTGGACATCCCAAACGTGTATTTTATACAGAGGCCTGGTGAAATTATTTACTTAAGAATTTGGAGCTTTATTCCACATATGGAAGATGTTACCTAACCTTTCCTTAAATGGTGGGTGAGCTGTCTTTCGTCTGAAGGAAGACTGTCTATTCATCTTCCTCAAGGGTTGGGCAAAACACAGGCAGAGACACAGGCTGAAGGTGAGAGGAAAGAATGTTATTTCATAATGTGAAGTACAATGCCTCAGGCTGTTGGGGTGGGTCCAAAGCTTATTAAGACCTCATATTGTTCCACATTTAGGGCAACAAAGCTGAAATGGTAAATGGCCTGTACAAGTCAAGAGACTTGGACAAAGCGCTTTACACTACATTCAGTCATTCACCCATTCAGGCACACAGTGATGGTGGCAAACTAAATTGTAACCACACTTGCCCTGGGGCTCACAGACAGAAGTGGGTCTGCCATACACTGGCGCCACCGGGCCCTCTGACCACCATCAGCATGCAATGTAGATGTAGTGTCTTGCCCAAGGACATAACGACATTGTCACTCTGAACCCATATTTCACTTGATACCTAGAAAGCTGTCATTTATAACACAGATTCATACTTAGTTGCATGCAAATGGTTGCTCAGCCGATTGCATGCTAGCAACTCATTGCATTCCATTTCCATTTACCATACATGCATCTAGGTGTGGTGAAACAAGCAGCTGAACCTCAAACATGGCGTGCTTGATAAACTTCAATTAGGTTCGTGAGAAACTGGGAATTTATGCAAATCCATCTCTCATTTTTGCACAGATTGTTTTAACCTTTCAAAACCCGCCTTTTTTAGTGTTTACAACTAATTACTCAGAATGCATGAAAATTACACCTGTCAAATGTTTACCAATATACACATGTTGGACATTGTTGGAAAGCTTAGATTTGCCACAATTCAAACACTAAGTTAATTTTATTAACTTAGTTATTAACACAGATGTAGCAGCATGTCAAAATGTAAACATGATAAGGCAGCCACAACAAGCAAGCATGTCGTTGTTACTGCTGTTCAAAAAACACCTGTTATTTTCGAGGATAAAAAAAAAATCTACTTTGAGTCATGTTTGAGCTGATGCAGCTTGGGCTGTGTTTTACTCAACCAATTTTCATTCAGAAACTCGAAAGTGTTAGCTTTCAAATAATATATTACACATGTTATTGGGGTTTACAGTTCCTTATTAATTAAGGTACTGTAATTATAATCTATAATAATTATAAGTTATTTGCCTATCCATTTGGGTATGCAAAATAGGCGAGAATTTCCCAAAAGGAGGTGGTTGTTAAGCAAACAGAAAAACATTGTACATGGTTTTGAACACTATATTTTTATACATAACAAATTGAACCTTGAATCAGATGGGCTACAGCAGCAGAGGACCTTACTGAGTTTTACGCCTCTTAATTGAAAAGAATAAAATTAGCATAAGCTCCCCTTAACTGGCCAAAAACATAATTGCTTATTGTAATAAGTCCTATTTACATCCTGATTTAAGATTGTTTAAATACCATATGAAACTTGATTGTTGTTGCTACTGTAAATCTCTTCTGATGACTGTTTTAAGAAGGATAATTAACCACGTGACAAAGCTGATATAATCTCTAAGTGGACTATTGAACATGAGATTGAGTTAACTTGTCATTGGTGGTCTGTAGAGTCACAAACTGTCAATACAGCACAGCACATTTTAAATGAGATATTCCCTTTATTAATGTACAGCTGAATAAGCTGCACATGCTGCAAAAATAGATGTGTTGAAATTTTAGGACAGTAAAATGGGATCCCAGTCAGTGCCAGAAATTTTTATCTATTAGAATGGGTGGGAATGGTATGTACAAGTTCAAGCTTGCAGAATTGCATAGGTTAATTTCCTTGGCACCATTTTAAACATTTCAACACTTTTTCATTGGTATTGTCAGATTGTTTGTTTTTCCACCGTTGAGAGGATCCTGTGAAGTATAACCTGGGACAGACAGCTTTGGCTTAGAGACATCATCCATGTGGTTTATGTGCATGTTTAAGTGAACCAAGAGAAATAAAATAAGGCGCTAAGATGGCAAAACATTACTTTTCCAGGAGTCATTTTGAGTCGGTTGGTGGAAAATAGTCTGAGTTCAATGGAATCTTTGAATTCATCAAAAACTGCTCTATTAAGGAACAAAAGGGTACATAATGCCAATTCTGAGCTTCAAAAAAAGACAAATTCTGGTCTTTTGCAGCCTTGAAGACTTTGGTGCCATGTGCTTAAGTGTCATTTCTTTTTTCTTTGACTCTAAGTTTATGGTAGCAATTTGTGTCAAAGACAAAATTATGTCATCCCAATTACTGCAGGAAAAGGCATTTAGTTGTTTGTTCTAGGCTTTTCACATCTATTCATAAATACTAGTCAGACATAGCAATAAGATCACTGAAGGGTAAATCAGAACATATGGATTATTTCTATCAGTGCACATGTAAGTGTGTGTGTGTGGGGGGGGCTATATTCATCAGGAAGAAAACAACTAAGGTTGGCAACTCTGTGAAGATTAAATAATGGATACTTTTTGGAGAGGGACTGTCTTCCACCCTACGGACATTATGAAATAATCTTCATGTCTTTCTTTTCTTGCATTTCTGAATTCATTTTGTAAACATTTAGATCAAACCTGCATTACATCAGACACCTAATTTTGCTTCTTAAAACGGGAAAGTTCTATTCTTTAAGGGGCAGCTGGCAACCATGGAACAATTGTGATTCCTAGATGGCTTAGCATCAAAAACAGCATAAGAAAGTAACACCGTTTAATCCACTGGTTTTTGCCATGAGTCTTCTTTCTCCTTAGATAGAAAACTTTGAATCATTCTTTCTGTATGTCTGCTTCTGTCTCCTTGAACCCCAGTCGGCCTCGGCAGATGGCCACTCACACTGAGCCTGGTGAAGGTTTCTTCCTGTTAAAAGGGGGTTTTCCTTAGATAGAAAACTTTGAATCAATTTGGCTGTATGATCTTGTTGAATTGTAAAGTACCTTGAGATGATGTGTTGTGAATTGGCGCTATATAAATAAACTGAATTGAATCAATTTGACTGTATGATCTAATTTAATTATCTCTGTAAAGTGCCTGGAGATTAAATTTTTTTGTGAATTGGCGCTTAATAAATAAACTCAATTGAATTGAACTGACAATGCAGTCATGGGAATTTTTGTATGTTGGGTTGACGGTTGTCTGATTCAGCACCTGAGCTATTGCTGCCCAATCTAATTAAAAGGGTCATGTTGGTTTTGAGATACAGTAGTAGCCATTCAAAATGTCCCCACTTTCCTTGATAGGCCCTTGGCTGGTTCAATTCAATTCAGTTTATTTATATAGTGCCAATTCACAACACTTCATCTCAAGGCACTTTACAATTTAACCAGGTCATACAGTCAAACTGATTCAAAGTTTTTTATCTAAGGAAAACCAGTTGACTGCATCCACTCATTGACAGCTAAGAAATAATTTTCATCTTTTCTTGTATTTGTGAATTCTTTGTGATCTAGTCCCCTAAAATTCCTTTTTAAACATCAATCTTTGTACTAAATTATTCTTTTTGTCATGATTTGTGGACATTAAGATCTAAAGAGAAGCGTCATGTCCTGGTCAGACCCTGTAATTCAGTGAAATGGTGGAGTCAGAGTAAAAAAATATGCACACCAAGGAGAAGGAGGGGGTCACTCCAGTGGCTGGAAGTTGGAGGGAATTTTGCTGGGAGTTGCCGGGAAGTGGGCTGCCATTCGGCTGGTGTTTGGGAAGGGCCATTTTGAATGGCAGCTTCTGTACTCGGATGTTTGTGGGTTATATACGCTATCACAAAACATCAGTAGGAATAGTTTGAGAAGCACAACGACAAGTTTGGGTTTTCATTTTGACTAATAAAACCTCAATCCACCAAAGCCAAAGATTAATTAATGTTCTGGCTCCTGAGATCTCAGTGCCAAATAGTACAGCATACCATCAGAACTATAGAGGAGGCCAAGTCTTAGACAGTCAGGGCTGTTTTATAGCAAATAGGTGGCCAACATAATTTCAGCAGATGGTCCTGATGTTATTCTAGATTATCCTCAACACTGATGTTTTCTCAAAAGCCTGACTGAAATGTTCTTTGACTTCACAGATTAAACAATTTGTAAAGATGCTGAGAAAAAACTGCTGTAATCCTTTCCCTGTTATAATTATCGATGTACACAACCAAGCAACACGTACACTAAACATGTTTTCTTTGAACCAAACACACTTGAAAACCTGACGGATAACGAATGAATGTTCAGAGTTGACTGTAAACTTCGGAAGAGTCTGTGGACCATGTGCTTTGTTAAAGGGGGCTTTGCGTGATGGAGTGGCGGCTGCTCTTGAGTTTCTCTGTAAGTATAGACAAAAACTGAGCCACCGTCTGCAGAAGTCATTATCTTGTGATCTTTTCATGCTACAATTCACAACACTGCTGGAAAAGTCAGTCAGTTTCATCCGGCTTTCTCTGCTTGTGAAGATAAATCTTTGGTTCGGTCTTGAATCTGTTAGTAAGAGGTCTGTGCTTTTTCATAGCTCTCCAAAATCTGGAACTCTTCATTAGCCTCTGGCATTGGCCATCATTTTTGAATTATCTGCTGCTGTTAAGATGGGAATTGATCTGCTTTGTCATCAAAGAGATGATCACCATGGGGGTTCCAGTAGCAGTTAATAGATGCTCGTACGGAGTCTAAGGTGCCTGTATTGTGACTTCACAAACGGGAAACATTATAAACTTCTTTTATCGTTAATTAATTCTGCAGCTCATTCCTTATGTTGTGTTATTTATCTTGCCTTGTTTTATTGAGTTTGATGAATGAGGTTTGATTTGGACCACCATGCTTGAAGCTCTGCTGTGCATGTGATTATATTACCATAGCTGCGGGCGTTTTGGGCTCTAGGATCAGTATCCCTAAGGATGTGTGGGAGTCTATGTGCTGCAGCCCATCTTCCTGTGGTTAATCCATCACTTTATGCCAGCCAGACAGATCCACCTCAACATGAGTTTCCCTCTCAGCCAAGCATGTCGTGGCTGTCCATCATAAAATCCCCTCCTCTGCATTTCCTTGTGTTTCTGCTTTCACACTGGTCCCACAGGAAAAGTGAGCAAAAACAGCGGGGTTCGCACAACATCTGCAACTATAGAAAACACACTTTGTGGGACTCATTTCCTCTGTTTCAGTGGAAAATTCAACTTGTGCAGGGGGGAGATTCTGGGGGTTATATGATTTGCAATGAGTTTTGCAGAACTTTTTCCAGGAGGCATGCAGAAAATCAAGTTGCTCAAACGCATCCTGAGGGGTTAAAGTGGAGACAGATTAGTGGTGGTGGTTTATTGCTGAGACTGCTCCTCCTGTCTAGCTTGTGTTTTGTTCACTTCTTCAAATAACAAGATGTCTATATAAGAAACCAGTCCCTGCTTGATAAAGAAATCATTCTTAAAGGGATAGTTCCCTTTGATAGATTTTGAACGGGGGCCCTGTTAAGATTTTTTAAGCTATAAGAGGGATAGTGTGGATTTTCGAAGTGAAGTTCTGTAAAATTATTATAATTATTTAAGAGTTAACTGTAGCTCATCACTTATAGTAAACCTCACGAATTTGGATTTTGCCAATGCACTGCAGAGTTTCTTCATTTTGGTTCATTTGTACACCTTGTTATGGTTGGGGAATGATCCTCATGGGTCTAGAATCAGTTTATCAAGATTCAGCTGCTGCCAAATTAAATTTAGCATGGTAGTATAATCTTACACATACCTTTCAAACACTAAGAATTGATTTTCTCTTTAATGTGATATGGTAAGATGACGAACAATGTTCTATCAGTCCAAGACATAAAGATTTGGCCAGAGAGACAAATAACCAGTCAGAAAATCGGGACATCTGATAATGTTTGCTGAACAGAGACTTCAGGACACTGGTGTGCTGTGTTGAACCCCAGTTGGCCTCGGCAGATGGCCGCTCACACTGAGTCTCGTTCTGCTGGAGGTGTCTTCCTGTTCAAAGGAGGTTCTTCCTCTCCACTGTCGCTACAAGCGTGCTTGTTTGAGGGATTGCCTTCAAGTCAATGAGTCATTGCAATCAGCTGCTTTTCCTTAGACAGAAAACTGATTGTTTCATCTGGTTGAATAGTCTCTGTTCAGAGCCTTAAGATGATGTGTTGTGAATTGGTGCTATATAAATAAACTGAATTGAAATGAATTAAATAGGGTTTGAGGATCTGAGTTTGACACAAAAACATCACTGGTCTAGAGACTTGTTTGGGGCATTTCTGGTCCCCTTTTCTGAAGAAAAAACAAAACAAAATTGTAAAGCAATTCTTGTAAAAATCCTAAATTTCTTTCCAAAAACCAGTTTGCTTGGGTACTTCTAAAACATGGATTAGATAAAGCGTTGCTTGAAAAAAGTAAGAGTTAAGTTCAAAGTCCAGCTCTCATGCTAGCAGCCAGCATGGTAACTTCTGGACCAACTAATCTGGATAAGCTGCTAAAATAAGCCTGACTCTAAAATCCCCAATCATCCATTTTAAAGATTTTTGAACCCTTTTACAAACATCAGCTGCTGTAAACCAATGTTTCTTTTTTCAGTTTAACCAATTTAATTTAGATTTTTCCAAAGAAGTACTCCTGGAGCTTCTACTATTTTGTTTCAAAAACATATATATGTAATTTCTTACCTTTACTTGTTATCAATCTCTCCACAGAACTCGGATCACCCAGAGATTTAGTCACTAGAGATGTCACTGACACCAGTTTTGCAGTCTCTTGGGCTGCTGCCCCGGGAAATGTTCGGCAGTACCGGGTTATTTGGAAATCCCTGTTCAGTGACGAGACGGGAGAAAAGAGAACCAATGGGGGCACCACAGCTACCATCCTGGACGGTCTAACCCCAGAGACCCGCTATGAGGTGTCTGTAATCGCTGTCTATGGTCATGGAGAGGGCCAACCACTGGTTGGAGAAGAAACGACTGATAGTAAGTTTTTCTTGTCATGGTTGATCTTAGCTTTTCTCTTTAGATGTCTCCTTCCTACCAAGTCTGTAAACCTTCACATCTCATGTTAGGCTTTCTAGTTTTTTTGGGGTTTCCTGTTGAAAAATAAACATTTTTTGTTTATGTAATTCAATGTTATAACTTCATGAGGTGCTTGTAAAAACTGCATGCATTTTTATGTTTAAATGTAGAGTTGATTTAAAGTCTAGGACACCTGGGCACAGGTTTCGTGAGACATTCAGAACCAAAGGACACTTTCCTTTTATTCTTGTTAGACTATAATCATGCTTGAATGGGAAAAGCACAGTAGATGGAAACTTGTTCCAGTTGGGAGGAATTTTTCCACCAGTTAGTAAAATGGAATGTGTGTGTTTCTTTTTTACTGATCATCTTTAAAGGCGGTATTCGCCAAAAGCAACGGTGAGGCAGCACTGTTGACCTGAACAGTCAATTTCTTGAATTTGCACCTCCATCTGCTGATTTATTTTCTCGAGCCTTTACATAAATCTTAGGTCTCTTCGGGCTGAGCAACACATGGCAAACTTGGATTTGCAGCTTTTTTTCCATTAATAAAAATCCTCCCACTGAAATAAAACATTCTGAATATTTTCCTCAGCTTGTTTTCAAACCTCTGACCATTTAAACTAGTTTTTTTCACACTGGAAAAATATGAACTTCAAACACAAAATCCAAGCCTGCTTACAAAGCTATCACTTAAACCTGGTCATTAAAATGTGGCTTTGTTTAATGTATGAAAAAAAAGTATACTTAGTTGAAATAATAGTCTAATAATAGTCATAGTCTGAAAGATCTCAGTCTGTATATATTTGGACACATGTGAAAATTGACTTTATGTTATTCAGTTATGCATAGTTGGTTCACAACAGGAAAGCCATGCTGCTTTATTTCCAAATGTATCTTGTGAACAAGATGGTTTTAAGTTCACGTTTTGCCCTTAGTGCTCTATGGAAAAAACTCCAAATTACTTTTTCCTAAGACTAATAATTCACCATGTATCATTTTTGCCCTTTCATCAATGCTTTATTTCCTTACTTGCAGTCTCAGCCGCTGGCAAAACACTTACTGTTTCGGACGAGACAGAAAAGACCATGAAAGTGACATGGCAGCCCGCACCCGGAAATGTGGTCAACTACCGCATTACCTACAGACCACAGCAAGGTGGGCGCCAGCTAGCAGCCAAAGTCCCTGGGGGCACCACCTCCACTGTTCTGAGACGCCTTACCCCTCAAACAACCTATGACCTCACAGTTGTCCCAATCTATAGTTTTGGAGAAGGAAAGACAAGGGAAGGAGAAGGAAGAACATGTATGTTACAATTTTTTGCTTTATTTTATTGAGTTGATCTACATGTTTGCACCCATTAATTTCTCCTCCTCTATCTAGTGTCACCTTACAAAGGTCCAAGGAATCTCCAGACTTCTGAGCCAACAAAGACAAGTTTCAGAGTGACTTGGGACCCGGCTCCCGGTGAGGTTAAGGGCTACAAAGTCACGTTTCATCCTGCGGAGGATGATATTGACCTGAGAGAACTTTTGGTTGGTCCCTTTGACAATACCGTTGTGCTGGAGGAGCTCAGGTGTGCATCTAACTTCTCCATATGGAGATTTTCAACTAATTTGAAATACTATACATATTTTTACACCATATTCCTTTATGTTGTAATTAGATTTTTTGTGCTTTGGTTCACAGAGCTGGAACTAAATACACAGTGAGTGTGTTTGGTATGTTTGATGGAGGAGAGAGTATGCCACTAGCTGGAGAAGAGAACACAACTTACTCTGATGCACCTGATCCTCCAACATTTGATGGACCAAGTAAAGTTGCTTAAGAATATTTAAAAATACAAGATATAATTTGAATTATTTTGTTGTGTCATCCAAAAGATTGGATGTTAAAACTATAATATAAGCAATTGAAATTTGCCCAGGGGTATAATTAGTAAGTGGCACCTTGTAAAATATTTTTTGCCTGTCTTGCTTTTACATTTTTTTTTCTTATCACAACCATTAGATTTTTTTGTTTTGCTTTTTATTTCATGTGATGGATCAACAACAAGTAGTGCATAATTGTGAAGTACCTTAGAAAGTGAAGACAGGGTTTTAAAGTTTTTTAGAAATCATGTCTACCCTTTCTATGTCCCTGTAATCAGGGGATCCTTTAGATAACTAGGGCTCTGGTCGACTCTTTGTTGACTCTATGTTGGCTCTGCAGGGCGAGTCTGGGGCCACTCACACCTGCTATTGAGCATATTCTCCTTCTGAAGAAGCCTTGTAAACCTATTATGCAAATGAATATGCATGCATGAATTCCACCGGCATTTAGTTCCAGGTGTCCACGAATACACACTCATACTAAATACTAAGCTGCAGCTACAGATATATACAGCTTTAAACAATACTGTGTAAATAGCATGAGTTTTGATTTATATATACCGGTATAAGGGTTCTATGGGATACTCGCTCTTCCTGTATCTAGTTTTTGTTTGTTCTTTTTTTGTTCTCTGTTTTCTTTTTCTCTCATTTGATGCAGGTGTAGAAGCCGACTTCAAGGATATGCTGCATATTTTGTGTTTTTTCTCATTTTTTCTTTCTCTTTTCTCTTGATTTTTTATTCCCCTCTCCATTTTGTTAACTCGTTTCCCATGATCTAATTCCCTAAACTATATCTAAGCTTCACATATAATTACCAAGCTGGACCATATGGCAGCAACTCTAATGGTCTACTCGTGAAAGCAAATTTGTTGGGCTACCATCTGTTTCCGCGACCTAAATTCCCAGAGTTATGTTTGCAAAACAGGACACAGAAAACAAAAAAAACAAAACAAAAAAAACCAAATCAATATAAATAAAAGATTAAAGGAGCCAATGTATTTGGTATTTACTCTTTTGCTGTAAGACCAATAAATTAGTAATTAAGACCAAGGCAAACAACAGACAAGTCAAGAGTAAAGTTGTAGACAATTAAAAAGTAAAAATGATCTTCCAAGCTTTAATGACCTCTTAATGAACCGCATGGAACATTTTTAAATCTAAAAAAGAAACGGCCAAACTTCTTAAACTGACCATTCAGATTAGAAACATCTAGGAAAGGTGAAACTGCCATACAAAATGCTGATTCATTTGTAGTTTCTCTCAAATCATTGCAAACATGTAGAAAATGTGCTCTGATTGGGAGGAATTGGAGGAAAGCTGGCCTGAGAAAGAAAACCTAGACACTAAAAAGGTAAAATTATGGCCGTACAGGTTTTTTATTTTATTTTATTTTTTTTAAGGAGGACAGAGAGGATGACAAGAGTTTACAGAAAAAATTGATAGAGAAAAATCTGGCAAAAAAGCCTCTAAGGCTGCAAAAGCTTTCAGGCTGGAGCTGAAGTTCATGTTTCAGAAGGATTACCTTAAACACAAATCCAATGGAATGATTTAAATTAATTCTATATGTTAGAAAAGCCGATTGAAATTTCAAAACTGGCTCCAATTAAGAGTTTTTTGGAAGACTTAAAATGTATATCCAGTTGATTCAATTTAGAGCAAAATTCCTTAGACTAATGGAGAAAAATCTAAATCTAGTTAAGCAAAGGTGATAAATACTCTAAAAGACTTGCAGCTGTAATAGCAGAGAAACTTCATTGTATGCATTTGCCTCCCTAAATAGCCAAATTCATCCCACTCCTTAAATCTTTTGGAAAAAATACATCACACCTTTTTCTCATTCCACTTTACAATCATGGACTACTTTTTTGGAGATGGATCGCATCAAACCCCAATGAAATACAAAGAGATTTATGGTTGTGATATGAGAAAACGTGAAACAGTTCAAGTTGCTTAGAAATCTTTGCAAGGGATTGTGTCTGTCATCGTATAAGGTATTCTCTTCACTGTTTGGTTTTTTTGCAGCAAGAGTCAAACACTGGACGCTATAAAGTTTTTCTTAGATACGCACCCTGCAAACACACGTCCTGTAAAAGACAAAGAGGTTCTCTTAATACCATTCTTAATACCTCATGCTACACAGATGTAATGGCAGACTCATTAGTCTGGACTTTTTCTTTTGTTTACATCACTTTGGTGCCTTTAGTTCTTACTAGCCCAAGTACAGGCTGTGCAATACGAGCCATGCACATATAACCTGGCTGAAGACATAAAAGATTTTACAGCTTAGTGAGTCAGAGTGGCACACAGTAAGTGTGAGAGGAAGAAAAATGTTGTGGTTTGCTGAAGAGAACTCTAAAGGTCAGTTGGACTTCTTGTTCCTTTTAAGGAGATATGCAGATTCAGAAAAAGTTCACTGCAGAGGCAAACAGAATGTAGATGTGACAGAAGCTTATCTTTAACTTTCGTAATATTAAGTATGTTCCAATGTTTTCGGTATTTGTAAAATACTTAGGGGTTCATCTTTTTTGTTATAGTCCAACCCCAAAATAGTTTAAACATGGCGACAATCTGCTTGTGTATCCATTGACAATTATGAGCAGAGAGGAACATTTTCATAAGGATATACACTGGCCATTTGTTAATTCACAAAGATGTGAGTATGGACTCGTGTTCTAGCCAAGTATGTTTTTGAGAAGAACCCAGGAAAGTGTGGACTCGGGGAGAACGGGAGCACGCAGCATAAATATGGCTCAATTGGAACAGAATTGTACTTGTGATGGCACCACACGCTCGACTCATCTCCATTCCATCTAATATTAATAGTCTCTAGATAATAATACATTGTTATCTTTTTCATTAATAATAATGAACACAGTCAGATAAACACAAATCAAATTAACATTTTGCCAAATAAAAAAAAAAATCGCCATCCAAGCCTACAGTACTTGAGACACAGCTATGCCGAGAGAGGGCTGCTGCAGACGGTGCAAAATTAGCCCTGGCTGCCGTTACCCTCAGAAGTTCGCTGGTTGCCGCGGTCCTCTCAACACTGGAACCTTTTTTAAATTATGGACTAAAACATTAAATGGGCAGTATAGGGAAGTTTAAAACTATAATGTTCTCACCTCAATTGATCTTAAAAGTAGTTTTATTGAACAACGACAACAGAAAAGAGAACTTTTAACTTAATACTCTGAGCTCTGTGAGCGCACCCCTCGAAGCTGCTGCCACAGTGCATGGTGGGACAGCCAACAAATCTTGAGAACTGACAAGTCTGCTTTGATGCATCGGTAAAGAGAGAGGGCGAGAACAACATTCGGGGACTTTGCCCGTTCTCGGTCTTGTGTTCTTGTGAATTGGAACAGAACTAGGGCTGAGGCTGATGCCGTTTCACGAGTACACAAGCACATGAGAACGCACAAGTACACATATTGAGAAACGGCCACTGTCTTCATCTATGTAGTCTAACTCCATTAGATATTCTCATATTAGGAGACTGTAATATACTATTCTATAAAGGAGGATATGCACAAATAAAATATGTTAAATATGCTAAATAAAACTAAATTGAAATAGCTATAATATTAGCAAGGAAAAAAAATTATCCCTGTTTGTTTGTTGTATCAGTTTTGATCACAATAGCATAAGAAATTTGTATAATTTTCTTGTTTTCTATAACGTGTCAGAATTTCAGAAATATTCTGTTTTCAAACCTGTTTTGCATCTTTACAGGTAGCAGATGCTTGTGTTTTTTTGAAAACCAGTCTGTAAATCAAATGCATATGTAACCTGCTTTCAGTTGCAGCAAGTGGCAGTTAGTGCAACATCTGACTATTACCGAAGCACATCTGCATTCTTCTTTTGGCACAGACGATCAGATACCTTTGTTGTCATCATACAGGTGTTAAAAGCAGGATGTAAATATTACGGTGCTTCTCTGGAGGAGCACATTACTCTGTCCTTTGGAGGCCTTTGATATGTCAGGGGCCATTAACAACATAATCTTCCTGTGGGACTTACTCATGGATGTCCAAAAGCACAACTGTGAAAAATATTTCCCTAACAACATGCTGCTGGAATGATGATAATTATACCACCTGGAACATCTGGCATAAACTACTGGAAAAAACGATGAAAAAGTCCCTCCGAATGTTTTCTAAATGATGTTTTCATTTTCATTTGTTGAAATGCTTAGGTTAAATTTCCCCTCTTTTATCCTTTCATTCCTTCTTTATGGCCTATATTTTCTCCACTGCCTCTCTCATTATCAAATTCCATCACAGACATCATTTTTATTATGGTTCACTGCTTTATTGCACCTTATTTTAATTTTTCTATCATTGTTTTCTTACAAAACGTCAGACAAAATGTGTAAGACCACTGCACAGGCTGACATTGTGCTGCTGGTGGACGGCTCCTGGAGTATTGGACGGCTTAACTTCAAGACCATTCGAGCCTTCATTGCTCGCATGGTGGGAGTCTTTGACATTGGTCCTGATCGGGTTCAGATTGGTGGGTTGCTCAAAAACTTTATTTCAAGTTCAACATGTTATGAGACCTATTAGTCTAACACAGGTTTTTTTGTTATATCCTAAGGTCTTGCACAGTATAGTGGGGACCCAAAGACTGAATGGCACCTGAATGCTTATCAGACACGGGACTCGCTCCTGGAGGCTGTGAATAAACTTCCTTACAAAGGAGGAAACACCATGACCGGTACTTCAGGCCTTGTCACTTCTAAAGATATACATCAATCCAACCAAATGTGAAGGGATTTACCGAAAGCAGTGTCAATTTGTGGTCAAAGCATTGCCATATTTTGTCTGCAGGTATGGCTCTTAACTATATCCTCCAGAACAATTTTAAGGAAAGCGTTGGGATGCGACCTAGTGCCCGTAAGATTGGTGTGTTGGTTACCGATGGAAAATCCCAGGACGATGTCATCGTTCACTCACAGAGCCTGCGTGAGCAGGGCATTGAACTATATGCCATTGGTAAGTGAGCCTGATCTCCGTCAGCCTTTACAAACACAACTGAGAGGAACACATACTAATTAGCATTGACTTATAATTTTTAGGTGTGAAGAACGCAGATGAGAATGAGTTGCGATCCATCGCTTCCGATCCAGATGAAATTCACATGTACAACGTGGCGGATTTCTCCTTCCTTCTGGACATTGTGGATACTCTTAGTGATAACCTCTGTAACAGTGTGAAGGGGGGTACGTATGACTTTTGATCAAAGTTCAGCACCATGCGTGTATTACTCTGCATATGGCAGGCCCGGAGCATAATGCTGCAACCCACACTTTTTACTCTTCAGATGGATTTGAGAAGCTGGTTTTCCTTCCACTTTACAATTATCCATTACTTTCAGTTAGTCTATCAAAACCAACCAAGTGAAATATACTGGTTTGTGGTTCAAAAGGTGTTAATACTTTTGAATGTGAAAGAATATTTTTTTTCAGGATAACAATAATTTAAATTTATTGATCTCAAATTGGAGAAATTAACCTCTGCATTTAACCCATCCCCTTGGGGAGCAGTGGGCTGCCATTGTGCGGCACCTGTGGAGCAGTGTGGGGTTAAGGCTCTTGCTTAGAAATCCTGAGTGACAGTCTGTGGGAGTGGGGCTTAAACTCAGAACCTCAGGATTCCAAGCTCTAGGCCCTAACCACTTAGCTGCCACTCCCCCTAGTAAAACAAAGGAAGCAACATAAGTATCATGGCTTTAAGCCATCTGCTTTTTAACTAAACAATAATGTTCTATAAAAATGGGATGTATTGCATCCTAGACAATGTTAGTTAGATGTCTTGTTTTTTTCTAAAAACTGGATACCAAGCTTCTAAAATGACTGCAGATATAACTTCTATCTCTATATATTTTTTATCTGTATGGACATTTTCCTGCCTCCTGCTCTGGAAAAGGAACGTTTTTACTCATTAATCAAATGAGAGGGAAAAATGGAAAATCTGAGCTACCAAGTCCTTTGCTGTTTGTAAAATTGTGATGCGATTTGCAACCAAAGAAGTAAACCTTTTTAACTCCAAGAAATTATTTTTAAAAGCAAAGGCTACACAGGAATGCTTGTAATTGAGATTCATTATGGTGCTCTATGATTACTAGTGCAGCATTTTTTATCTAAACAGGAGGAGCTCCAGATTCACCAACTGATCTGGTGACATCAGAGGTAACTCACCAGTCCTTCAGAGCCAGCTGGACTGCTCCACAAGGCCCAGTGGAAAGATACCGAGTGGAATACATGACTGTGTCAGGAGTCCGCCAACAGGTATACCATATTTCATATCCTGTCATTTCTGAAATTCTCATATCTGCCAATAATTCTGTTCTTACTTGAACTGCAGTGAGCTTCAGGGTACTGACTGGATGTTGGCTTAAAGCTGTTCTGACAAACAGCTTCCGATACTAGTGGGAAGCTCCACTCAAGCAGCCTCCTGTTTGTGTTGGACTCTGTGTCAGTGTCTAATTACATTACAGTCTGCTATGAGGCAGGGAAACACAAACACACAGCTCTGAGTGTAGAGGATTAGAAAGCAAATAATGACTCCATGACTGATAGCTTTATTGACCAGTAGAGGCTTGCCACCACCATGGATGTGTTATTGGCAACTGAATCTAATTACAATGCAGGTGTTGTTTGCTTTCGTTCAGTTCTCAAGGTTTTGTTTGATGCTGGACCTTAAGTTGGGTCTTTGGTTATATTTAGGGATTCGGAAATGGGAAATCCAAGCTTGGATGGATTCATGGAGACAACTTCAAAGAGAGCTTTCTGGTTTTCACTGTAATGCACTGCAAAAATATAAATCTAAATGAGTAATTTTATCTTAAAATATGTGCATTAGTTCTTGAATTGAGGAGGTAAGTGAGACACTTTGCCAATGGAACAAGCCAATTTACATTTAAAACAAGAGCAAAAAAATTACATTGTCCTATTTCAAGTGTGTTTTATCTAATGATCTTACTTGAAGAGTAAAAATACTCATTCCATTGGCAAATCATCTTTTTTACCTACTCAAATTAAGCGTAAATACACTTAATTTAAGAAATTTTGACTTATCGTTTTTGCAGTGTGTTGATTCACAAGACCGTTTTATTCTCTAAAATATGAAATATGGAAAAGGATATAATTTATTAAGGCAATGATCCAAGCCACCCACAGCATTTGTGTGTAGATGCTATGTGAATGTGTTTCTAAGCAACATGAACTACAAACAGTTGTTTCTGTAGGAATGAGCTAAAACTCCAGCAAGTAATACTGAGTAGCTTGTGGAAGGATGGTCTATTTGGTCCCAATGTTTAAAAGGAAATTCTATACTGGAAACAAAATCGAAATTTAGATAAGTAATTTTTTCTTAAAATACGAACATTTGTTCTTGAATTGAGGAGGCAAAAGAGGTATTTTGCCAATTGAACAAGACAATTTACTCTTAAAATAAGAAAACACAATTGCATTGTCCTTTTTTAAGTGCATATTATCTGATTATCTTATTTTAAAAGTAAAAATACTCATTCCATAAGATTCCAATCTCATTACCTACTCAAATTAAGGGTAAATACACTTAATTTAAGAAATGTTTACTTATTTCTAGTTCGTTTTTCCAATGTACCAAATGCAAAAGAAACAAGACCAAATTCTGACTTTTAGCAAAGTTATCTACTTTTAGTAATCTGGCATTTATTAACCAGAGAGGATTTGGATATTTATTACTAACCAGAAACAGGAAGATTGTTTTTTGAAACAATGTCACACAAGACTATATTTTTTTGTTTTGTTATACACACACTGGAAAAAATCGAAGTCTAGATAAGTAATTTTTTCTTAATACAAGTGCATTTTTTCTTAAACTGAATAAGAGATACTTTGCCAATGGAGGAAGACAATTCACATAAAAAATTAGAAAAAAACAATTACATTGTCTTATTTCAAGTACATACTATATAATTATCTTATTTTATGACTAAAAAATCTCATTCCATTGTCAAATTATTTTATTTACCTATTTAATTTATGATGAAATACACTTGATTTAAGAAATGTTGACTTATTTCTAGATTGTTTTTGCAGTACAGTATATAAACACAGGGTTCTGACTGCAACTGCACTTAAAGTATTAACTCTACTCCTGTCATTGTGCAAAAAAAAGTGAACTCTTACAGGTCTAACCCTGCACTTTTTTATTAGGTGTCTGTTGATGGTAGTACAACCACAGTGGTTCTCCAAGGACTCACCCCTCTAACAAAGTACCTGGTCAACGTCTACTCGGTTGTGGGAGAAGACATCAGCGAACCACTAAAAGGAACAGAAACCACCTGTAAGTCTCCTTCTCTGTATACTAAATTCACCCGCTAATAGCTCCAGTGACATTGAATAATATAAATGTGGATAAAAGGCTAAAGATTTATGTAAAAATGAAAAAAATTTTACAATCGATCAGAATTTGTGAAAGATAAGCTTAGAAATAAAGCTCAGAGTACAGCAGTGTAGCTCAAGTTGGCTCAAAGTTTTGATTTTATGCATTCAGGAACTGTGCGGTCTCCAGTAATAAAATGTTCAAAGCTCGCATTTATATCTTGGTCTATAAAAAAACGAAAGCTGTAATAAATCTTAATTAGATGGAAGTTTAGAGAAGATTTACATGAGAGTATTTACAGGCTTACCTTCACTTTCCAGAGACTTTCTGCCCCTGTTTATTCTGGGGTGGTATTTGCTCTTTTACTGCTGCTTTGTAGAATGAGAGACATTTAAGAGTATATTTACATGTTAAAAAACATTAAACGTTTTGTGCATGCAGGGTTTTTGGCTCAGACATATTAGATCCAATCCTATGCCTAAGTCTAGTCTGAGCAGAGATTAGTAGAGTATCTAAAAGCACTTCTTGAACATTTTTATACTGAGATTAAAATAAAAAGTATTCAAGCAAGAAATCAAGAGTAAATAGTATTTAGCAAAAAGCTTCTAAGTACTGATTAATAATTGGACCAACATCACTATGTTGGATCAGCTTTTCAAAGACTAAGATGCATAAAAAATAAAAGAAAATTATTTTTCACAAAATAGTAAATTCACAGAGAAATACTTTTTCAAATCCATTTTTTCTACATAAAACTCATTACCTTTCTACTGTCTATACGTATTTTTTTTAATGTAACTGAGTAAATGTAACCAGTAACTAATTACCTCTAATTCTGAGTGGATGCTGAAAGAAAGCAGCTCAGGTGTTTCTCTTTCTTTGTCTTTCACACAGTGCCTCTGAGTGCTGTGCGCAGTATGACCATTTACGATGAACAGACAACTACCATGCGGGTCAGGTGGGAGGAGGTGCAGGGCGCCACCGGGTACATGCTGCTCTATAGCGCCATCAACGCCACTCAGCCAACCATTGAACAGGAGGTAACGCTGATTTTACACTAAGAAAAAAGCCTGTCCATACAAGGGAGGACAAGCATTTATAATCAATTTTCATCAAACAAGGCATTTTAAATGGCAACAAAACATATTCATTTGAATAACACATGTTTTATATGATAAACTTCTTTTCTTTGGACATAAATTCAGTTTCCTTGAGTTAATTCACTTTGTACAAATCCGTCATTTCTCATTGATTAGCTGACAAGCTAGACATTGTAAGTCTCATAAAGGGTGGATTAACTATGAGCTCACTCTGCAAAGGGAACGTCAGGGTTTGCTCATGAAGTGTCAAACCCGGTGGGTTAAAACCAGATCTAACAGATGTCCTCAAAGCTAAAGATTTTACTCACTGACCTTATGCACATCTGCATCTCTTAGAGGCAATCATTTCCTCTCTGACCTCTTTGTTATTTGTTTGGTTTGGTTGCCTTGTAGCTGAGAGCTGGAGCAGGTACAACAGACATCCAGCTGGTGAGGCTCATTCCAAACACGGCCTACACGCTCTCTCTGTTTGCCCTCTATGGAGAAGCAGCCAGCGAACCACTGACCCAGCAGGGTGTCACCTGTATGCTGCTTTCTTGCATTATAATTTTGTTACTTTGTCAGATTTCACTAGTTTTATGTATAAATAGGGTTGAAACTCATCCTGCCTTTGGTTTCTTGTTCAGTGCCCATGCCACCAGCAGGTGAACTGAGAGTACGTGATGTTACCCATAGCACCATGGTGCTGTACTGGGACGCTGCTCCTGGAGCTGTTCGGAAATACAAAGTCATCTACCAGGCTGAAGATGGAGATCCTAAAGAAGTGAGTTTTTCCTTGATTTTTATCAAACTTCACAAAACAAACCTGTCGCCAGACTTTCTACCCGAGTGCTGTGTGTCAATTCCTTTCATGCAGGGAAACATTTAAGCCATTTGTTATGTATGTGGTCTAGGGCGGAAACAGTCAGATAATTCATGACTAATTGATTATTGACATAATTGTCAACTAATTTAGTAATCGATTAGTCCTTAACTGGAGTATAAAGACTGTAAAATATGCCTTTAACTGGCAGAGCAACCCAATTAGAGCAGTAATTATATCAAAATCGTGAAAAAATATATAAACATTTTGCATTTAAAGTCATAGGGAAGTCATATTTAATTTCAAATAATTCTGGCTTAAACATGTATATAAATGTACTCTTTATCAGATGATATTGTCCCAAAAGTTAGAAAATTTCTGTTTAAAAAAAAAAAAACCTGTCTTAAAATCTGTGTTTTTGTTTTGTTATTTTATGCAGGCCGGTTAGTTGTACGTCAGGCTGAACACCTTAAATTCGGCCAATCATATATCAACGGTCACCTGTCAATCAAATGTTTTCGGTCATAGCATCTTGATTCATGTCGCAACTAATATAAGCAACGCTTGAAATAAGAATAATTTCCTTTCCCATTGAGTTCCGTCCCAGTGTTCACGGGGATGGACGTCTGTGTCTTCGGCAGCGTAGAACTAACAGAACTGGCAGCGTTGCGAGGCAAGGGCTCAAACATGTACGGCTGTAAGCCTTCTACACCAAACCAAGCTTCTGCCGCCCTGGCGTCCTCTTCCACAACATCTTCGTCCCGCTTTCCTCCCCTAAATAAAAAATGTATAACGGAGGAGACTCATCAACGACCTCCGACACAAAACTCTCCTCCTCTTGCATGTTTCCGCTGTCCATGGCGTTCCTTGACAGTGTCGTTTCTAAGTCACCGATTTAGTGCTACTTGGTCTCAATGGAATTTCCCATTGGGAACCTACTAGCACTAAGTTGCTAACTGGTTAGCAAGATGCTTCTGACAAACCAGCCACAATCAAACTTGCTTGTGAACCTTCCGCCACAACAACCCCGCCCCCTTGATAATCGACCAATCACATTCACTTTATTCACTCGTGTAAAGTCGTGCACCACGTGGGAGAATTTGGAAATGCAACGGTTGGAACAACGACTTCCCTACAACTTTCGTCCTCCACTATACCTTAAGATAAAAAGAACGTTTTCGTGTGTCAATATGCTCCATCCAGAACTCTGTGGAGCAAGTGGAGAAGTTTTAGTTTCACCTGGTTTAATTTCGTAAAAAATATTTTTTAAGGAATCTTTGGCTATCGGATTACTAATTGATTAATTGAAAAAATTATTGACACATTGATTGAGTTAAAGCCACAAGAGTATTGTTCAGGCTGCAAAGTGATCTTTGTCAATAAGTTAGATTTTACGTATACTCTTAAAGAAATTAGGGATGCAATCGACAAATCTAGTCATAGGTTGCTTGGTTTGTGATCATCACTCCACACAAGACTGAGAGGAGTTTTGTTTTTTTAATAACATTTAGCTTTCCGTAGTTACTCTAAGCAGAAAAGTTTGACTAATAAAAACTTAAAGGTTAAAAAAAGGTGCTTACATAAAGTGTTTTTGACATTTTGGATATTTAAGTTGTTTCGGTGGAAAATCTGCTTTTTTCTTTACACCCACTGGGTTTGCTAATAGTGTCAACCTGCAGCACCAATTAATGTAAACAAGATTAAGATGCAGAAGATATCAACTGCAGGTAAAATAATAACTGTTTGCCTTTTCTAAAAGTTTCTAACAATTTCTCTTTAAATGCAAAGGAGGCACTTTGTCATCATATGTTCAAAGATCGGGGGAAATGAAATTAAACAGTTAAACAGTTGTTTTCAAACCTGTCCCTTGGTGAGCAATCGGTGCATCCTTAGAGGAAATAACGTGTTTACATTTCCTGCCCTTCTTCACTCCTGTGTCAACAGAATCCTACAAGCAAGATGTTTTACCAGTGCTTTACTGCTCCTGCATTACTTGTTTGTCTGCTAGACCCATTTGGCTCAAAAGTGATGAATTTATATAGATAGTTTTGTGGTGATACTTTATTATTCTGACTGTAATGGAGTCTGCAGATGGTTGGTCGGACATTTGGGAATGTTCTGTTATCCAGCAAAAGGAGCTTGAAAATATCAGAATTTGATTTTGGAGGAATTAACATGTGGTTAATGTGGACAAATAGTTTATAGCTACTTGTCTCCTTTAGGGAGTTTTCGGACAGGAGCAGCAAAAAACGTTGGTCTGCATTTTGCTTCATCCACAACCATAAATCAGATAGAGGCAGTTCTCCAAACTGCAGTGAAAGAAGCACACATGTAAAGTAGCTTGAAGGACTGAGGATTTGTTTGATAGAAGCCAGTAACGGTGTGCCACTCACAAAACAAATTGCAGGACAAATTATCCCCTGGTGAAACCTTCAGCATTCCTTTTAGATTCTTGAGAGACCATCCCTGTGTCAGTTTAGGCAAACATATAAGCAGGTTGTAGGTACGAGTCCATGTCCTCTTTGCAATGTTTTTATAAAAGGTACTTTATAGATGAAATTATTTTTTAAAATGTCCTATCTTTTTCAATTGTTTTCTAACACCTGAAATATTTCTCCTTCAATTTATGCACTGCAAAAATGATCTATGATCCTATGGTAAGTCTTTTTCCATTGGCAATACGAGATAAAATACACTTATTTTAA